ATTGATTGACTGGAATGAATAGAATTCGTGGTAGGAGAGAAAAAGGAAAAAAGGAAAACAAATTTTTATTATTAAATTTAAAATGAAAATAAAATTAGAGAAATTTGATATAAAAAAAGGTAGCAGGCAGCGTATTTTTCGGGAGAAATTCGGCGAAAAAGAAAATTAGGGGGAGGAAGAGGGAATAGGAGGAAGGGGGATAAAGAAAAATTTTAAATTTTTCTTTGAAATATAATAAATATATATATTTTATTTAGTTTAAATAATTAATATTATAAAAAATGGAATCAAATTTTTTTTTTTTTTTTTTTTTTTTGGAAATTTTTCAAAAGTTCAAAAGAATCATTAAATAATAATAATGATAATAATAATGATAATAATTATAGTTTCGTTTAACAAACAAAAATAAAGTAAATAATTTAAAGTATAAGATTGAAATTTAAAGCGCGCGCGCTTTTTAATGTTTTAATTATTTATTTATTAATGTTATTAAATATTTAGGTCGTCAACCTTTTCCGTTTTTTTATTAATATTTTCCACCATTTTGAAATTTTTTTTTCTTTTTTTTTTTAATATGTTTTTTTATACGGTTGAAAATAAAATATCGTAAATTACGAGTGATTTTATTAGAGAGGAATATTAATAATAATAGTAATAATGATGATTACGTAGCATGAGGGGGGTGGGGGTAGGGGGAGAGAAGGAACGACGTTTGACGACGACAGCGACATAAAAAAGAAAAAAACGTCGCGAGAATTTTTTTTTTTTCGGTTTCGTCGTTTGTTCCATGGTTTAAAGAAAATTAAAAATTTTCCGTTAAATTTTTTTTGTTTCCCGACGACGACGACGACACACACACACACGTCGTGGGAATTTATTATCATTTAAAAAATTTATATTTATGGAAAAGCACAAAAAAAAGGAATTACAATCGTATAGTCGTCTGCTGTTGCTGGAAAAAAAAAATATTTCATGCGTCATATTTTTTATTTTTATTTTTGTCTTTTGTTTTTTAACCTTTTTACTTACACCTGACCTCGAAACGTAAAGTTCGAAATTCACGCAATTTGGAAAAAAAAAAGGGGGAACGAGTGGGCGGAGAGGGGAGGATGGGAAATCGTGAAAATTAAAAATGAAAAATTGAAAAGGTAGAAATTTAATACACAGTAGAAAAAAAAAAAACTCAAAATCATATGTTGATAAATGAATTCACCCCCCCCCTTTCCCCAATAAATTTCCAGCCGATTACGATTTTAATGATAATGATGACGATGATGATGATGATGGAAAAAATGAAAATGTAAATAAACGAATTACGAAAATATTTATAAATAATTTTGCATATAATTATAAATTTTATTATTTACTAATTAATAACATTAATTATTATTAATATTTTTTTTTATATCGACGTAATGTTATTGATTGGTTTTATTATTATTCGAACGAGGGGGAGGATGGAGGGGAGGAGTAGGAGGAAGGAGAAGGTAGGGAACGAATTAATAAAACATAAAAATTCGTTTTATTATTTAACAGGTGAAAATACGAAAAAAAAAACCGTTTTAATTAATTAATAATAAATTTTTTATAGGATTTAAAAAAAAATCAAACTTAATTATTTTTAATTATTTGGATATGAGAGAGAGAGAGAGAAAGAGAGAGAAAGAAAGAGAGAGAGAGAGAGACAGAGACAAAGAGAGAAAGAAAGAGAGAGAGAGAGACAGAGAAAAAGAGAGAAAGAAAGAGAGAGAGAGAGACAAAGAAAAAGAGAGAAAGGTGAGAAAATTTGTTATAATAATTTTTTTTTTATTTTTCTCGATAATATCATAAATATTAATATTATTATTATTATTATTATTATTATTATTATTTTTTTTTTTTTTTTTTTTGTTATGTCGTCGGTGTCGTTTTGTCGTTTGATGTCAATCAACCCATTTTTTTTCCTTCGCCTCCCCCCGTTCTCCCCGTTCCCCCCAACAAATACCATGAACCATCACCGCCATCTCGTAACAATAAACGTCGTCGGCGTCATTACACCGCCGCCCCTTCAAACGTGAAGATTCGCATATCGTTGACGCATTTACAAATTTCGAAATTTTTAATCTTTATCGAAAATTTATTAATATTATTATTATTATTAAAAAAAAAAATACGTGACGTCAATGTTGTGACGCAATTTTTTGTTTTAAAAATAAAAAAAAATTTTTCGACGAGGAAGAAACGTCGTCGTTTTATCAATAAATTGATAAAAGGGAAACGTTTTTGATGATAATAATAAATGATTCGAGTCGGTTATTAATTTTTTTTTTTTTTTAAAAATGAGTCGATAACGATGACGACAATAACGATGATAAGAACAATGACGACGATGATAACGATGTTGATGATAATGATGATGATGGCGGTGGTGGTGATGGTAAAATTAATAAGAAATTGATTGAATGAAAATCAATAAGTAAAAAAAAAAAAAAAAGGGAAATAAATTCGACAAAATTTTTTTATTTTTTTCTACCAGCAGCAACAGCAGAAGAAAAAAGAGGAAAATTTTTTTTTTTTTTTATAAATCCTTATTTATCATTTGGTAAAGGTTTCGAACGTTGAAAAAAAGGAAAAAAAGGAAAAAAAAAAGAAATAAAAAAAAAAAAAAAAGATCATGTAGTGCAGAGAGAGAAAGAGTGAGAGAAAAAAAGAGAGAGAGAGGGGTGAAAGGGGGAAGGGTTATTCGTTCCCTGACATTTAAAAAAAAAACATTTTCCTTTCCTTTCCTTTTTTTCCTTTTTTTCCTTTCTAGTATAAAAAAAAAAAAAGATTTTAAGGTATTTCGAAAAGGACATATACTTAAATTGAATAATATAAAAACTCGTAACACGGTCGTTTAGTACCGTTTTTATCATCATCATCATCATTATTTCACTCGTTTTGTTAAAGTCTATTAATTTAAACGTAAAAAACGTTAAACTTTATATACTCGTATGATTGCAAACCGGGGGGTGGGGCGAGGGTGGGGTTAAATAAGTTTATATATATATTAGAAAAACCGTTGGAAAATTAAATGTAATTAAATGTCAAAAAATTATTATTATTATTATTATTTCTGAACGAAAAAATGAAAAAAACGTTACATTGGAAAATAAATTGATTTTTAACCGTAAAAAGAAAATGAAAATGCCATTTTCAATGATTTGTCATAAACCAAATGAAGCAGAAGAAAAAAAAGGAAAATGGATTTTACAACGAGAAATCTAAAAAAAAAAAAAAAAAAAAAACATGGCGGAAATATTTAAAGAAAAATTCAATTTTTTTCGTTTTTTTTTTTTCCGAGAAGAATATAAATTTTTTTTTATTACGAGGAGGAGAGGAGAGGAGAAGGAAGGAGGAGGAGGAGAGAAGTTAAAAAAAGTTTTCCTGTATGAAAAAATTTTGTTGAACAAGAAGTGAAAAAAGTTTAAGAAAAAAAAAGAAAATTTTAAATTAATAAAAAAAAAAGAAAAAATGGAAAATGGAAAACGTGTGCAATAACGCGCCGACGAATGTTAAAAAAAAAAAAAATCAAAACAAGAAAAAAAAAAAGGAAAAAATTTCTATGTCAAATATATATATATATAAAAATATAAAACGATGTTGAAACGTTTAGAAGGAAAAAAAAAGGTCGGAAAAAAGGAAAAACGGAAAAGGAAAACAAAAAAAAAAAAAAAGGAAAAAAAGAAATTGATGGAAAAAAAACGGAAAAAGTTACAAATCAAATGAAAGGATGAAGAGAGGGAAGGGGGCGGAAAGAAGAAGGAGATGAGGAAAAACGGGGGGCGGGGGTGAGAAATGGAAAAAAAAAAATTTCCTTTTTTGTCGTCGTCGTCGTCGATTTCCGTTAATTACGATTTTCTTTTTTTTAAATTTTCTTAATCGTTTAATGAGTGAACGCCTCCATTTTGTTATTATTTTCACTATGGAGGGAGGGGGAGGGAAAAATTCGATCGAAATCCTTTTAGGCTTGAGATTTAATAATAAAGAAAAAAAAAATTTCTTAACCTTATCCAAAAAAAAAAGATATAATAATAATAATAATAAAAATAAATTTTTCTCAATTTACGTTTTGCTTTCACGCAAAAGTTCAATGAGCTTCTTAAACGCTAGCAAAAAACAAAAAAAAAATTTTTTTTTTTTTTGTTCCCGAAACGAATTCCCAAACCCAAATAAATAAATAAAAATAAAAACTAATTATGTCGGGGGAATGAAACAAAAAATGAAAAAAATTAACCGTAGCAAAAAAATTGAAAAAAAAAAAAAAAAATTACTTATTTAATAATAATAATACTTTTTTTTTTCAATTTTTTGCTGGGAATTATTTGCGCGCGCGAAAAGGGGGAAAAAAAACCTTATTTAATGAAAGGTGAAAACGAAAAGTGAGAGAGAGAGAGAAAGAGAGAGAGAGAAAGAGAGAGAGAGAGAAAGAGAAAGAGAGAGAGAAAGAGAGAGAGAGAAAGAGAGAGAGAGAGAGAAAGAGAGAGAGAGAAAGAGAGAGAGAGAGAGGAACTTTTTTTAAAAAAAAAATTTTTTGTTTGTTTGTTTGTTTGTTTGCTTGTTTGTTTATATCCTCCTGCCAATTTAAACTCTATAAATAAAACGTTAGAAAGAAAAAATGAAAAAGAAGAAAAAAAAAAAATTTGTTTTCGCCATATTTCACGTAAATATAATATCGTCTGCTTGTTTTTTTTTTTTTTTCTAATTTTTTCTTATTTTTTTTTTTTTTAATAACAAATTAGTTTACATTATTTATTTATTTATTATTAATCATTAATCATTTATTTATTTAATTTTTATAATCTTTATTCGTTTCTATCGAACGCAAAAAAAAGAGAAGGAAAGAAAGAAAAACGTTTGCTCTACGTTATTGTTTTACATCACCTTTGATGACGTCATTAGGTGGTGGTATCAAATGGAAAATTTTTAAAATTTGTCCGTTTGTTTGTCCGTGCGTATTAAATATACATGTCCGATTGTTTGTTGTTGTTGTTGTTGTTCATATAATTCATCCGTTAAAAAAACTGGCATGTAATTTACCTGTTATTACCTGACGAAAATAATAATAATAATAATAATAACGATTATAAAATTGAGGTGTTTCACAATGGCGTAAATTCGTTCATTTTTTTTTTTGTTTTTTTTTTTTTTTTTCAGCACGTTAATTAATTTATTTTGCTATTAATAATATATATATTGTTTTTTTTCGTCCGTGTCGAATAATAACCATAGCAAAAACGATGAATAATTGCGCAATTGTAACGTTTTAAGCTTTTTTTCATAAACAATTTTTTTAAATCGCGGTCGTGGGGGGAGATCGTGAATATGAAAATTTTTGCTACCGTTAATAAATATATTTTGTCGTCTGCTCATTTATTTGTCCTCGTCGTGAATTTAAAAAAAAGGAAATATTATTTTTGATAACAGCAAACCTCCCCCCCCACACACACACATGCATGTAAAAAAATTTTTTTTTTGTGAGTGCGAGTGTTTATTGGTTTTCCTTTTTTTTTATGATTTTGACATATCATTTTATTTTTTTGTTCTTTTGTTTGAATGAATTTCGAATTTTGAATAATAATAATAATAATAATAATAATAATAATAATAATAATAATAATAATAATAATAATAATAATAATAATAATAATAATAAATCACAGAAGGCTGCGATTGACGGTTAATTTCAAAAAAAAAAAAAAAAAAATGAGTGAAAAAAAAAATCATTATTCAAATTCTACTACGAACGATTCCATCTTTTTCTTTTCTTTTTTCTTTTCTTTTTTCTTTTTCATCTTTCGATAACGTGTTCTAGAGAAAATAAGAGAAAAATTATCGTACATAAAAGAAAAAATTTTTCTAGAAGGAAAAAGAAAAAGAAAAAAATTTTCGATTTGATCGATTGATTTCGTCATGTTTAATATGTCGTAGAACGACAAGTGCGAACGTTTGTAATTTTTTTTTTTTTTTTCATTAAAAATTATTAATTGATAATAATAATAATAATATTAACGTTATGCCGACATTGAATTTTTTTCTTTAATTATCGATCGAAAGTAAAAAGAAAGAAAGAAAAAGAAAATAAAAGAAAGAAAGAAAGAGAGAGAGAGAGAGAGAAAGAAAAAAAATTGTGAAGTGATTTCTAAAAAAAGATTTTTTCGAACGTGAAAGTTTTTTTTTTTTTTTTTTTCTCGAATCTCCTTGACGGTATTAACGTGTAAGATTAAAATTGTTTTAAATGACGTCAGACTAGAGAGAGATAAAAGATTATATATATATATATATATATATATTTTTTTTTAACAACACGGACGTTTTTAATGTTTAAGATTCGAACTTTTTTTTTTTTTTTTTTTTTTTGAATTCATTCCAATTTATTTAAGTCTTCCGAGTTTTTTTTTTCTTTTCATAACGTTTCGTAAATTGAAAAATAAAAAATAAAAAAACAAACGTACGACGACGACGACAACGACAAACAGGGTTTTTTTTTTTTTGATCCGGTTGTCGAAACGAATAATAATAATAATAAAAAACGGAAAACATTTAAATAAACACAGGGGGGAATGAAGTAAAAGAAGAAGAAGGACGAAAAAAATTTTTTTTTTTTTTTGTTTTGAAATTCCCGGGAAATTTTTTTTTTTTTTTTTTTCATAATAAAATATTTCATAGAGTAAATAAATGGTTTTGTTTACATCATTTTAAAAATAACAAGTAATAGAATAATAAATAAAAAATAATAATAATTAAATCATAGAGGATAAAATCGTTTTGATTTGAAAAATGAGAGTAAACGTTTATCTCTTACCAACCCCCCCCCCCCCACAATTTTCATTCGGTGAAAAACGTTAAATGAAAATTTTTTTTAAAAATAGGTCGATTGATAAGGGGTCACGTGAAGTCGATAATAAATTTAAAACCTTTTGCGCGCTTTGATTTTCGTGATTTTTCGCCCCTGTTTATTATTAGTATCATCATCATCATTACGTTTTTTTTTTTATACCTTTTTTTGCGTCATCATCATCATCATTATCATTATTATTTTTTATCATAATCGATTAGTGAAAAATTTAAATAACGGAAAAGATTTTTTCTTTTTAAAATTAATTTACATTTTTTACATAAAAAAAAAAAAAAATTTAATATTATGCAGATGTTATGTAGTAATGATTTTTTTATTTTTATTTTAAATTTCGAACGTGTTTTATTATTATTATTATTATTGCGAGGTTGGGAGGAAAACACGCGTGGATTTAACTTCCCTCTTCGTGCGTTCAACTTTTTTTTTTATTTTTTTTTTTTTTTTGATGTTTTCGAAAACATGGGGAATAATAATAAAACGTCAAATAAAATTTTAAAAAAATTATTTACATTGCCACAAAAAAAAAAATGAAGGGAATCTAAATTATTATTATTATTATTATTATTATTATTATTATTATATTTACATATATCATATTGATTTATTTATAAAAATTTATACATATATATATAAATAATATTCGAACGTAATTAATTTCTCTCTCTCTCTCTCACTTATTCGTAGGGAATTGATGCCAATTTTTTTTTTTTTTTTTAAATTTTTTTATTTAACGAAAATGCATTAAAAAAAATAAAATAAAAAAATTTTTTTCGTCACCGTTTGACGCGTATAAAAAGAGAAAGAGAGAGAGAGAGAAAGGAGAGAGTAAGAGAGAGAGAGAGAGAGAGAGAAAGTTTAAAAATCCTGTAGAAGAAGAAAAAAAAACGAAAGACGAAAAATCTGTGAAGTCGTCGTTTTTCGTGATAATTTCTTTTTTTTTTTGGCGTGATACGTGTTTTATTCCACGTCGATACTCCCCCCCCACAATCCCCCCACCCAATCCCCTCCTCCCACCGGACTCGGGATCCCGCCGGGATCTATATTTTTTGCCATGTAAGTTGAATACAAAAAAAATACGTAGGGAGAAAGGGAAAAAAAAGGTAAACATGTTTTTTTTTTTTTTGTTCGTATAAGATTGATTTTTATTAATCGATTGATCGATCGATTCATCGATACGCTTCACTCGATAATTAATTATCGAAATTCTTCATTTAAAAAAATGCGAAGGAAAAAGTCGTTAAAGTTTTAAATGAGGCGGGGGGCGGAGGCTCGTTCAAAACGTTCTTTCGTTCGTTATAAATTTAAATTTTTAAAATTTTTCCCGCCAAATTTTTTTGCTTTAAGAATGGTGATAAACCTTTTAAATGCATCTAATCGACGGTGTGCGTGTGCGTGTGCGTGTGCGTGCGTTAAAATAAATTTCGTGACAAAGTATGTGTTCCAGTACAGGTGATTCGAATGGTTCAAAACAATGACGTCATAGAAATTAAAAAAAAAAGTCGTAAAATGTTTTGAAACAACATGGAGGTAAAGAAAGGAGAGCGCGCGTGTGTTTTCGTGTCGGCGTAAGAAAGTAAAAAAAAAAGAATAAAAAATGATTGATTGATTGATTGATTGACTGACTGACTGACTGATTTCTTTTTTTTTTTTTATCGTTCATCAGATTTTCACAAAATTACGAAAAAATTACAAAAAAAAAATGATTGAAAATTAATTCCCGGTCGGTGGTTTTCCTTTTTTTTTAATCTTTAACCCTGATTCATCATCATCATCATCATCATCGATATCGAAAAGAAAAAGAAAAAAGAAAGAAAAGTGTAGGAAGAAAAGGGAATTAATGACTCGAAAAAAAAAAAAATTTTTTTTTGATTCGTGATCAAATATGTGTTTCCCGACGCAAAAAAAAAAAAAAAAAAAAAAAAAAAAATAGAAAAAAATAGAAAAAGAAAGAAAGAAAGAAATTTTTTTATCGTGGCGATAAAAAAAAAAAAATTTGAAACAAAATAATAATAATAATAATAATAATAATAATTTATTGATCGCGTTTTTTAGAATATTAACCGTTCGCGTTGAACGTTTACGATACGATTTCGAACGCGGTAAAATAAAAATAAAAACAGAAAAACGATTCGAAATATTTGATTTGATTTTTACATTTCGATGAAACCTTAAAAGGTTAAGAAAACGTCACAAAAATGAAAAGGAAAATTTATTTTTTCAATTGAGAAACGTTTAAACCGGAAACGGATAAGAGGAGGGATTCGATATAGGAAAAAAAATAGAAAATTTTCTTATTAATGATATTTACCGGAAGTGAATACGTTAAGGTTCAAGGTATGATTTATTTGAGGAGGAGATGAAGGGAGAGAGGGAAGGGGGGTGAAGGAGGGAAAACGATTTACCTGCGAACGAGCAGCTGGCCTCCTACGTCTTCCGCTTGGGGTACCCGTATCGGGTGTACCGCTTCCTGATGGCGGTAACTGGCTGTTCATGACGAGTGCCTCCATGGAAGAACATCCTGGTGCACAAATGGACGCGGATCGGGCTTTGCTACAGCCGCTAAACGAACCTTCTTCGCTCATCGTCATCTCCCGGGTTACTAAATTGTTTTTTACAAACTGCTCAACGTAAACTGTTCCGACGTTCGCCGTTTCCCGTTCGGTTACGATTATTTTCGTTTCATTTCGTTTCGTTTCGTTAGAGAGAAAATTTTTTTTCAAGGGAAATTCAACAAGTGGATGATTGATCCCCTTCAAAATAATAAAGAAAATTTAATTTTTTTTTTCTTTTTCGTTTGTTTGTTTGTTTGTTGTTTTTTTTTTTAATAATTTGTACTATTAAAATTTTTGTCGAACAGAAACATGTTTTTTTTTATTAAAAAAAAAAACTTTTAAAAATAATTTTAATTAATTAATTAATTTATTATTATTATTATTATTAAACATAAAAAGTTTTAAAAAGTTTTTCCAACTACTCTCGCGAGGTTTTTTTTTTTTTTTTTTTTTTTTGGTTGTTTTTTTATCGTGAGAAAATGTCGAAGTTGTTGTAAAATGAAAATCAGAGGAAAAAAGGAAATGATTAATGAAATGAACGAAAATGAGGGGGGAGAGAGAAAGAAGGGAAGGGGGGGGGGGGGAAGGAGAAAGTTGAAAAGGTAAATGGACCCCCTGAGTTAATTATAAATAATTGACAAAAATTTTTTTTTTTTTGTTTTTTCTGTTTTTCCATCACCGCTACCACCACCCCCCCACTTTTAAAGTTTTTTAATTAACGTTAAAATGACGTCACACACACACACACGCACACGCACACGCATAATCGATTTTTTTTTATCGTCGTCGTAATTATTAAAAAAAAAAAAAATGTCGTAAAGTTGAAAAGTTTACGTTGTTTATTCCTCATATCGTTTTATCCCTTTTCTCCATTTTTTTTTTTTTTTTGTCCAGAAATAATTAAAATTCATTTTTTTCTTTTCTAGAAATTTCTATGGCGCGTAGGCTTAAAAGTTTTCCCATTAAAAAAGAGAGAGAGAGAGAGAGAAAAGTTTTTAAAGCTTAAAAAAAAAATTTATGCGCATTTATTTAAATATATATATTTTTATTTTTATTCATAACAAAACAAAAATTTTTTTTTTTTTATCTTTTTTTTTTTTTTTAGGAAAAAGATCACTTCCAGCTGGAAAATTTTTTTTATTATCATTATTATTATTTTTTTAATTTAAAACAGATATAATTTTATTATTATTATTATTAAATTAAAACGAATTGGAAAATAAATAATAAAAAAAAACATAAATGTCGGTGTCTTTTTCCTTTTTTTCCCCTCCCCCCCTTTTTAACAGTTTCGAATATGAAAATTTTAAAATTGAATAAAAAATAACAATGATAATAATAATAATAATAATAATAATAATAATAATAATGATGATAACGATAATTACGATGACGTGGGGGTGAAAAACCGTCGGGAAAAATTTCAAAAAAAAAAAATTCGATGATGATACGCGCGTCCATTTTTTTTTTTTTTTACCGTGAGCGAATTCGTCTCGTTGCCTTTTTCGGGGAAAATTTTTTTTTCTCTCTCTTTCTCTTTCTGAACGCACCCACGTGAATTCATAAACTTGTTCAAAAAAATTTTTTTTTTTTTTTGTTTTTCGTTAATTAATTAAGTTTATATTAAATTCGTGTAGAGGAAAAATACTCGTTGGATGGTTTTTTATGATTTCGTACTCATTTCCGGTTTTCACCCTTATCAAATTTATTTACCCTTATCGAGGAGAAGGAGGAGGAGGGGGAAGGGGAGGGGGGGGGAAAAATAAAACTTTAAATAAATTTAAATTCGAGAATTTTTTTAATTTTAAAAATAAAAATTTTCAATACCAAACTATTTATTATTATTATTAGTAGTAGTATTATCGCCATTAATTGAGCGTGATTTTTGTTTTTTTTTTCAAATGATTATTCTGTTTTATTTATTTATTTATTTATTTATTATTTAATTAATTAATTAATTAATTAGTTAATTAATTTTGTTTTTTTTTTTGTATACGTAAATGAAAAAAAATGATAGTGAATAAAATAAGCTTCGAAAGAAGCATAGATAAAATCGATACTACAGAAATGTATTATTATTATTATTATCATTACTGTTGTTATTATTAATATTAATATTAATATTATTAATTTTTTAGTGACGATATAGATGACAAAAAAGATTTGGATTTTGAAGATGTCCAAGATAAAGATCCAGAAAAAGATTTAGAAAAAGAAGATGAAACGGAATTTTTTTTTTCTTTTCAAGACGAAGTGAGTTTTTTTTTTTTTCTCTCCAACTACGTTATAATGATGACGATGATGACGATGATGATGACGAAATTTTTTTTTTTTTTTTTTTTCCGGTCGGTGTTTAGGATGAAGATTTTTTTTGGAAAAGCGTCGGTCATTATTGCATGTATTTTTTATTATACGTAATGGATTGGAACATTTTAACGAGTATATTTCAAGAGGACACAATAAATACACTCCAATACAGTAAATATAATTACATTAATAATAATAATAATAATAATAATAATAACAACAATAAGGAATGATTACAACGACAAAAACTTGACTCCCTCTCTCCCTCCCCCCCTCCTCCGCAGATCCAACCGTTATACATTACATAACCATTGTAATAATTTTCGGTGCTCCCCTAATTAATTTACAAAATTTCATCGGACAATATACAAGAAATGGAGCTTTTGCATTTGGACACATGTTACCACTCGGAAGCGGTTCGTAATAATAATAATAATAATAATAAAAATTTCCTCTCTATAATATTTTAAATAATATTAATTATATAAATTTTTTTTTATTTTTTAAAGGTATCGCGACGTCCATGTTGATTTACACATTTTTAAAATTTTCAATACAGATATATTATTTAGGATTTCAAATATTTTATTTGGCATCGACAGTTATAAATCCGAGATTGCCATGGGTTCATTGTCACGATTTTTACTTAGTTTCTAAAAATCAATGTTTTTCAATTCAAAATCTTGATTTGTGTCCTACAATGGCGGAAAGTCTCGAACCTTGTTTCGAACCTGGAACTAGAATATTATCATCCATTTTATTTATCGGGTATAGTAGTAATAGAAATTGTTGTTGTTGTTGTTGTTGTTGTTGTTGATGAGGGATTTTAGTTAGTTAAGATTTAAAAATTTTGTTTTTTTTTTTTTTTTTTTTTTTCAAATGATGATAGATCGAACGGATTTTATGGTGGGATAAAAGGTACAATCCATAATTATACAAGGGAAAGGCAAAAATATTTATTGAACAGTAACGTTCACAATTTATTCACTCTCATAATGCTTTTTATATTTTCATTTAAAAGCGTTAAATTTATAGATATGGTGAGTGAGTTATAATAATATTTTTCCCTAACGTTTTTTTCTCGTGCGCATGCGCATGTGCGTAAAAATAATGTGATTTCCGTTTTTTTTTTTTTTCAGGCACTTCAATTATTAACGTATTTTTGTTTGATTGAATCTTTAACGCTTTTTTTCATTGCATTCTCACAATCCGGTGCCATTTTGGGACTTAAAAATATATATAAAAATATGCACATTGAATCATTTTGGAATCTAAGCGTTCGTTTGTTTATTATTATTATTTGTTTATTGATACCCCCCCCCCCCACATCCCCCGTTTCACGTTTATTGATATTGATTTTTGTTTGTTCAATGTGAAAATAGACTTGGGGTTCGGCATTTAGAAGAACCTTAGATATATTGAAAATAGCTGAAGGAGGAATTATACTTATGGGATCCGCAATATCACCAGATAATTTATTTCAACATCACGCTTTGGTTTTATCATGTAGTTTTTGCATACTTTTAATATATTTAACATTAAATTATTACGTTTTCAACGGATTATTACAATTTAAATTAAGTATACCAATTGAAAAATTACGTTTCAAATCAGGTTGGTATCAGAAATAGAGAGAGAAAGAGAGACGGAGGGGGGGGGGGGAAAGAGAGAAAATTCATTTTCTTTTTTTTATTATCACACGCAGATGAAGGGATCCTTTTTGCACTTTTCCCATTTAATCTCGGTACCGCAGCTTCCGGTTCGTTTTTCTGTTATTTATTCATATCTATAATAACGATATTGAATTTTTTATCGATCGTAAGTTTTATTATTATTATTATTATTATTATTATTATTATTATTATTATTATTATTAATGTAATACATTTAATTGATTGATTGAAATTTTTTTTTGTGATCAGGTGATTAGGTTTATAGTTATGGAAAAAACAATAACGAATAATTTTAATTTAAATCATTATTATTCTTACGTAAGAGTTTTTATTGCTTTATGTGGAACGTTATTAAGCGGCGGAATAAATTTTTTGGTAAAAATTTTTTATCCGTTTCCGGTTTTTCCTCCGCCATTTTATTTATTTATTTATTTATTTATTTCAGAGCAACAAGGTGTATTTTTACGCCGTTTACGGTTATTTGAAAAAAATTACATCTTTTCTCATTTGCTTGCAATTGGTCATAGTTCATTTATACGGTTTGCAAAGGTAAAAAATTTAAATCGGGGGGGGAGGGTAAGTTGGCGGCGGGGGGGGGGGATTCGTTGAAAATTTTTTTTTTTACCCCTTTATTTCAATTTTTTTTTTTTTTTTTCAGATTTTGTAACGACATTGAATTTTATTTCAATAGAAGGCCGGCAAAATTTCAAAAATTAAGTTGGATCACGACGATTGTTTTATCAAGCGTAAAAACAAAATAATAATAATAATAATAATAATAATTTGTTTTTTACGTTAAAAAGAAAGAAATAAAAAAAAAAAAAAAAAAAGAAATCAAAATTTTTTTGACAGGTAACGACGATTAGTAATTTCATGCACGAAGATTCTCAAGCCATGAGATTATTATTTTTTCCACTCGATTTGTTATTCGTGGGCCCATTATTTTTAGGATTTTGCATAATAGTTATTGTTATGGGTAAGAAAAAGAATTTACTCGGGATTTTAAAACAATCCGATAAATATGGGCCCCCGAATATCGAAGAAAGGATTTATAGAATATTATTCGATCCAAAATTATCCGTTAAATATAAAAGAAGAATAGAAGTAAGATGATGGATTGATTTTACACCATAATAAATAAAACAAAAATTACTATTTGTAACAGTATATAAGCGCCATTTTATTTATTTATTTATTTTTTATTTTTTGATAAATTCAAGATTTGTAATCACGAATGTTTAAATAAAAGCGATGCACTTAAAACAGCCGTAGATGATGAATTATTATTAATTGAAAATTTAATAAAAGAAATTGAAATGGAAGAAACTGATCATCAAAGTAAGTTTTTTTTTATTTAAAAAAAAAAAAAAAGGTTTTTCAATCTCATTTAAATAAATAAATAATAATAACAATTATTATTATTTTTGTATTTTTAGCAATAAGTAAAATATCAATGCTCAAACAAAATTTGAAACAATTACAAAAGAATAAAATTAAATTGGATAATATTAAAATCGGAAAATGAAAAAAAAACAAAAATTTACATCGTTTATTTTTAAATTATTTATTATTATTTATTATTATTTTTTTAATTGTTTTATCCGAAAAACGAAACAAAAACGAAACAAAATGTTGGATATGAATTTTGAAGTTTCTTCCACATATTTTTTTTTTACACAGCGATAACGAATAAAAATGGCGGGAGATGCAGAAGAAAAAAAAAGCAAGGTAAGTAAATTTTTTAAAAAACATTTATCTTTAATGTTAAATAAGTTTTAAAAAAAAAAAAAAAACGACGAGTTATGCACGAATTTGAAACCCGTTTGATAATTTTTTTTCATTAAACGAAGCGATAACAAAAAATTCGTTAAATTTCTGAATTGTTTTTATGACGTCATACGTTTTGTAAAAACGCGACAACGTCGCAAACTCGCGACAACGTTAGAACGTTATTTGTTTCTCGAATCGGACGCGGTGAAGTCGTGCTACGGTGTTTGCTCTTAGTTTTAAACGTTTTATTTTATTTTATTTTATTTAAAAAAAAAAAAGAAAGATTCGTGGTTTTTATTTTATTGTGAAATTAATTAAATGTTTTTTTTTATTCCATTATTTTCTTTAACGTCGACATTTTTTATAAATTAATTAATTCACGAAAGCGTTTTTAAATTGTAAAAAGTGTTGCGTCGCCATTTTAGTTTTTGAATCCGTTGATAGAATTCGCGTTAGGAAACCAATTTTTTTTTGTTATTTTAAATTTTCTCGAGTGGATTTAATAATGAAATAATTAATTATATATATTTATTATGTGTCGAGTCGTTCGTTAAGTGCGAATAATAAATAAGTGTTAATAATAATAATAATAAAAGTTAAATAAGTTTTCTTTTCTTTTTTTGTTAATCAGTTGATCGACATGTATTTAACAACCTGGTAATAATCATATAAAAAAATGGCTACCGTTATTCTGTTGAATATTTTATTTGTGATTATTGTGTTTTTAATTAAATTGAATTGTGTGCAAAAGGATCCGATTTTAATCAACATATCGTCGAAGTTAACGACGTCCCCAAAATACTGAAAAACGTTTGTCGACACGAGTAAGTACTTATTCATACTTATATATATTTATATTAAAAAAAAAAAAATGTAAAAATTCACGTTGAATAATAGAAAACCGAATAATGGCGGAATTAAAAAATAAAAGAGTGGAAGAATCAAAAGAATCCAAATAATTATTGTTAATAATATCTATTTCGTTGAAACAGAAAAAAAAATTAGTTATAAGTTAATATCGTAACATTATTATTATTATTATCATCATTTTGAGTTCGAATACTTTACCTTAGCAGTTACCGGAAATGGTTTTTCAATATTCCAAATAGTTTTTGTCAAACGAAAAAAAGGTTTTAAATATTCGTTAACGATTCCAAATAACTTTTTATGCTTTCTCGTCCTCCATATTGGATACAATTTACGTTTGTAAGGTCTCATTTTTTTTTTTTTTTTAAAACAAAACCCCAAAATTTAAAAGTAAGTTTTTTTTTTTTTTTTTTTTTTTTTTTAGTAATTCCGATAAAAAGTTAACGAGTGTAAACAAAAAAAAAAAGCAGAAGACAAAAAAAAAAAAAAATTTTAAAACTATGGAGAATTTTTTTTTAAAAAAAAAAAAAAGAAAAAGAAAAGAAAAGAAATTATTTTGTTTTTATATTAATTTTTTTTAAAATATTTTTTATTTTTATTTTGTGATTTTATTTAAATGTAATCGATCGATCGATTGATCGATGGATCGATGGATCGATCGATCAATCGATCAACAAACACTTTCTGATATGATTTTAGCTAAATTTACAACGTTTTCTCCGGTTAATATATCTCTGTGATTTCCTTTTACGGAATAACTTTTCACTTTTTTCTTGCATACCTACAAACAAACAAACAAGCAAATGATTAATTAGGGAGGGGGATGAGGGGGAGGGAAAATCGAATTCGAAAGGTTTTTTCGTTTTTATAATATTTACCTCGTTCAAACCGTAATCTTCTCCCAATTGTACGAAATTGTCTTTTGCCTTTATGAAAACAACGTTACCGTTAAATTTATAATTTGTCTGATATTTATCAGCGATGACTAATTTTTTATAAAAGGATTCGGCTGCTTGTGCGATAACATCAGGTTTTGATAGTCCCTGTAGTTTTTCCGTCGTTCTTTGCAGTCTCTTTTCGAACGTGGGCAATGACAAAAGTTCTAATTTTACCTGTTGTGAGACAAAATTGATTGTTAAAGTTTGTTTCCTCTCTCTCTCTCTCTCTCTCTCTTCCTCTCTCCTTCTCTTTCTCACTCTTACTTTTGTGTGATCGACATTTTTAAATAAGGTTATAAAATAAGTTAATGCGTCCGCGTCGTAACTGCTTTCGCTTTTGTCGTTTCTCGTTTTATAATTTCCGGTGTGTATGGCTACGTAAGAAGGACTTCCGTCTATGAATATTAATTTAACTTCTTCCTTTTCCGATTCTAAAATGGCTCCCATTTCGAACGCTACGGCGGCTCCGAACGAATATCCCAAAATTTGATACGGACCCTTTTTCTGAACGGGCCTTATCAAATCCACGTAATATCTCGCTAGATTTTTCATGCTGTCCATGGGTGCTTTGGACGTGCATTGAAGACCGTAAACGGGACAGGGTAACAGAGAGGCTAGCGTCTGTTTAAAAAAAAAAAAAATATCGAAATCGATAAATCAAATCACCAATTAAGGGAATTTAACGATAATAATAATAATAATAGCATACCTTTAATGCCGAAACGTGACCTTCGATCGGATGTACCATAAAGAGGGGCGTCATCGACGGTTGAGAACATTTTGATTCCATTGTGATCATGTCTTGTGAGGGCATCAATTGCAAATCTTGGTATTGTACCTTAACACACCCCCGCGACAAAATAAAAAAAAAAATTAGCACCTTGTTTCATTTTTTATATCGATTCCCGAATTTCGTAATAAACACTCACCAAATTGTTACCGTTGACCAATGGAGTCGCCGGAGATTCTCCTCCACTTCCGGATTGTAATTGTTTTAATTTTGAAAATGTGAGGGATCTGATTTCTTGTGCGCTTAAAACTACGTCGTAATTTCTTTCCAATGTTTGTTTTATTTCGGCTCCCATTAATGAATCCATACCGATATCGGTCAACGTTGAATTTGGATTTACCGAGTTTACGTTTTTGATACCTGGAAATTAGGTGTTAGGTCGCGTGTTAAAACAATATTGTTTCCCCCTCCCCCCCCTGGTGTCGTCAATTGAATTACCTAATATGTTAGCGACAGCTTCCAACAATCCGGTTTGAGAACCGGAATCAACTTTTCGCTTTTCCGCGAGTACTAAAGAGGCTAATACGGGATCGGGTTGTTGTAAGAGTGCGTCCAACGTTGACAAACACGATGACATTTTTTGAGGAAGAGTACCACCTACTTCCGTCGGATTTCCGCTCATTTTTTCAGCTACGAGACCTACATCTCCGATGGCTCCCCATTGAATGGCCAACTATTAAACGTAAAATTCTCGTGGTTACAAAAAAAAATTGATTTAAGCGCGCGCGCGCGCGCACGCACGCACATGTGTACATTATGTGCGCGTGCGCGTGCGTGCGCGTGTGTGTGAAAACTTCTTACTCCAGGTAATCCGACGGCTTGTCTTTCCTCGCAAATCCTTTCCATAACCGAATTGGCCCAACCGTAATTCGCTTGACCGGCATTTCCTCTTCCACAGGACACGGATGAGAAAACTACGAAATACCTCAAATAGGGACAAATTTCTCTCGATGCTTTATCCAAGCACAGAGTACCTTCGACTTTGGGATAGGAAACGATTTTGAAATTTTCTTCCGTTTGATTTTCCATCAAAGCATCTCTGAGAACCTTTAAAAGGAAAATTTTAATACAATTTTTCTTCTCGCGTTAAATAAAAGAAAATTTTTTTTTGATTTTCACTCGATCTGGAAAAACTCACGGCTGCTAAATTGAAAATAGCATCGACGGGACCCAATTTAGTGGCTTCGGTTAAAAGATCTTTGGCACCTTTGAGAGTCGATGCATCCGATGTCGATATGACAACTTTAACACCCTTTTCCGTCCACCTTCTCACGCATATCGATTGATATCCCGACCTGATACCTGAACGAGATGTCAAAACGATTTTCTTAGCACCTCGATCGATTAACCAATTGCAAAGCTCCATTCCGAAACCTCCTAAACCTCCGACTAAAACGTATGATTTCTCACTGTCCATGTAGGTACGCGGTATGGCTTTTATTATTTTCGTACAGGGCACCGATGATTTTTCACGTTCTTCGTTACGAATTTTCAAAAGAACTTTTCCGATGTGTTTTCCACTTGCCATAAACCTGAATTTATAATTGTTAAATTAATTATTATTATTATTATTATTATTATTTAAAATGTAGAATTCGCCAAGAAAATTAACCTGAATGCTTTTTCTATTTGATCTTCTGAAAATACGGTCGATGGCAAAGGTCTCACGGCACCTGATTTTATACCTTCCGACACCAATTTAATAACTTCTAATTTTTGTGGTCCGGTTTCTTCGAATAAACTATCCAATAATATTCCGTGGAATGCCGTGTTTTTTAAAAATATTGCCATACCTGAAATGAAATTTTTCAAAAAATTGCCACCAATAAAACAAGATCGAAAAGAAGATGAAGTTTAACGTACCTAGTTTTGAATTATTCGAAAGATCGTATTTTCCTATTTCTAAAAATCTACCATCTTTGGCCAAACACCTCAAAGACGCTTGAAGTTTTTCTTCTGCTAGAGAATTTAATATGACGTCAACTCCTCTCCCATTCGTGTGACGTAATACGTGTTGTTCGAAACTCGTGTCACGCGAATTGGCGATGTTGTCATTTGTCAATTGTGGAAATCTTTTCAATAAAAATTCCCTTTTTTCTTTGCTTCCGACCGTCGTGAAAACTTTACAACCCATTGACAAAGCGATGGAAATGGCAGCTTGACCCACACCACCCGTACCTGCGTGTACCAATAACGTTTCACCCGGTTTCATTCTTCCTCTGACGATCAGGGCGTAGTAACTCTGTTACCAACGTAAATAAAAATTAGGGAATTAGACAAAAAAATTTTTTTTTTACGATTCGAGAAAGGTATGTTTAACTTACGGTTGAATAAACGACGGGTACCGTGGCAGCCTCTTCCAAAGACCAATCGTTGGGTACTTCCCATAAAAATTCGGGATCGACGAGTACGGATGTTGCCAAACCTCTGGCAACGACCATACCCATAACTCTTTTACCACTCGTAACTCTTCCGGAAAATTCCAAACCGAGAACGCAATCCTAAAATTCAAATAATATATAATCTCCTTTCCCCTCCCCCAAATAACAGGATAAAATAATAATAATCAATAGACTAACTTGTCCTGCTAAATCACCCGGTAATGCATCCGGTGGTAATTTTCCAGTTGCCAACATGATATCTCTAAAATTTAACGGTGCGTAATACACGTGACACAACTCGACGTTTTTGTCTTTTCTATATAAACAATTCGAATTCAAAAATAGGTACAAATTTTTTTTTAAATAATAATAATAATAATAATAATATCATTTTCTTACTTGAAATGTGATGGATGAGATTCGATCCAACGTAAACTCGATAAATCTCCTCTCATAAGAGTATTTATGTAAGCGTGTTCGACGTTGAGTGACGCTTCGTCGTTGACGTTGTCCAAAATAACGTGACGATAAGATCCGAAAACTCCATTTTTATAAACGTTCATTAAAAGATCTTTTTTTAATTGATCTCGGTAAAATTTTTCGTTTAATGAAAATTTTTTCCCATTGCTGTCGTGAACGTACATCATCCTACAGGGAAAAAAAGGAAAATCAATATCGTGACGTCATTTATCCGTTTTAAATCGTATCAAGGCGTTCCCGTAAAATGTGAGTCAATAATAATAATAATAATTATTATAGCTACCTGACGTGATTTCCTCCCGATTCTTGTTTTATGCAATTGGTAAAACCAACGATTCCATTTTGTTTTTCTCCTTCGGAAACGATTAAAAATTTTTTTTCATCCCCCAATGCTTTTTTCACTTTGTCAACGTACGAATAATTATTTTCCTTTATTTCTATTACCGGGATCTCGCATAAAAATTCATCCACCTTGAATGAGAAATTATTAATTTTGAAAATGTAACGTTCGTAATACTTCAAAATTATTTTTTTTTTTTACCTTTCTTAAGAGTACAAAAGTGGATTCGCTTGTTTTTTGCAAGCTAACCACGCACAATCCCACTTTTTCATATAGGGATTCGTTCAAGTTTAGATTTTTTTCTTCCGAGAGTACGAAACCACCCGTTTTAACACCGGACGTGACGTTATTTAAAACTTCCGGTTCCGACGTGAGTTCTTTTCCAATAATCAAATGATAATTCGATTCGAGAGGAGTTTTGTCGACTTCTTTTTGAACGGCTTTCACCGGTAACGTCGATAGTAAATTTTCAGGTACCGTTTCGTTTGACGAATGTACGACGCTGATATCAACCTGAAAAGTTTTCACGAACGTTCCTGTTATACCTATATAATTTTTCTTTCTTTAATTTAAAAAGGGGGTTTACTAACCGTGACCATGGGTTCGGATTCTAAAATGTTGAAAACATTTTTCGCCAGATAATCTTCGGATTCGTTTTTCCCACGTGACAACTCGGCTATTTTCAATTTTAAACTTCCGATCGTGTTTTCCAATGCGATTTGTAAAGACACGGTTAATGCGTTGTAATGGGACGCGACTTTGACATTTTCGTAAGGTACGAAAACGTATTTTTCTAATTTTGGGGGTGATTGAGTTTGTTGTTTACGCGGTGCCAAATTTGCTTTTAATCCCCGTAATTCGATACCTCCGGCGGAAATGACGTTTATATCTCTGTGCATGCTGACTTTCACACCTGGAAAATGAACGATTTTAATGAACGATTTTTTTTTTTTGTTATGAAAAACCTATTTTAGGCTTTGTTAATTGTAAAAACGTACCTCCTTTTCCTTCGGTTAAACCTTCGACGAATGTTTTATGTTTCAATGGATTAATTACGGCTTTTTGTAAACGTACGGGTAAATAAAGTTCTTTCGTCGACGTTCCCAATATTGAAAATTGAAGCATGGTATCCATAAATGAAACGTAATTATCATTCCATTCTAATTCTCCATTGATTCCTAAAGGGTTAAAATTTTTGCTATAGAATAACGTTTCTTCTTTCTCAATTAAAAATAGTGATAATGATAATGATAATACCGTTGTTATCCGAATGTGAAATCCCTTTGAAAATCCCACCGTAATCGTAACCCCGAAGCCTTAATTCTTTATAAACATCCAATTTGTTTAAATTTAAATATTTTGTTTCGTTTTTCGGTTCCGTTAAATTCAGCGACTCGCTATCAATGTCGTCTGGAGAATAAATAATTCCAGATGCAGCCACGGATCCAGCTTCGCAAATTTCAAATTCTCCAGATCCTTCGAATATGTTAACGAGAAATTTAACGCTTCCTAAAATTTAAAATGAATTCGACGTTAAAAATCATCATTATTATTATCATTTTCCTTTCGTTAAACAATAATGACCTTCTTTCGGTAGTATGGTAGCCCTGTGAAATTTCATATCTTCGATTATAACGGGAAATTCATCGAATGATTTTCCATTTAATTTACTGAATGTTTTCCACGCGAGAGTCTATAAAAAAAAAAAGGGAAAAATTATTTTATTTAATTCGCTGTCGACCCTTACAAATTTTTTTTTTTTTTTTGTTCAATTTGTTACCATGTATCCCGTTGCAGGAAACAAAACTCTTCCATCAATAGCATGACCGCTGTAGTAAGAGTCCTTTTCTTTACTTAAATCAACTTCGACGACGCATTCACCCGATCTACCCATTCCTTTTCCACCGAAATTAGCCAAAGACCATTCCGTAGAATGATCCCATTCAATCATGGACGCAATCGTTGGTGTACCTTTCGAAACCGGAAACGATACCGGTGGATATAAAACTGAAATATCAGGTTGAAGTCCACTGTTGTACATTCTGTAACAAAAAAAAAAAAAATGGTGTCGTTAAAAATCCCTTTTCGTTATTTTAAACGTAATTTAATAATCATTTTGAATTCTTACTTTCCAATGTTGGTAAATAAAAATGACAAATTATCAGCATGTCCTCTTTTCATTAGTCCTATGGGTGTGCAATTGGATGGAAGGGCACGTTTGAGAACGGCTTGTAGTAAACAATGAGGTGCTACCTGTAACAATTAATACAATTTGTAATAGTGACTTGTAGAAAAGTTTACAAACAACGACAACTTCTGACGTTTTCTTACTTCAATGACGACAGCATTATCAGGTACATGACGTAATGCGTCTCGGAAAAGTACCGGCGAAAGTAAATTATTGACGTGATAATCACATGATGAGTATTGTGCAATTGGAGTATCCCATAATTTTTCAGGCACGCTCGAACTTATCCATTTTGTAGATCTTTTTTTCGGATTCGGAATGAGCTGATTGGTGGGGGGAAAGAAAAAAAAATCTTTTTTATCAAATTTGTTTTTTTTTTTTACAAATTTCAACCAATTTTTTAAAATGATAAATTTATTACTTTTATCAAACTATCCTTTAATTTAGGTCCGGCTTCTTCGATGTATTTGCTGTGGAAAGCAACCCCAGAACTGGGTACGACTCTTGCAAAAACTCCCTCGTCCGATAATTCTTTGGCAAATTTAACTATTGAATCTTTTGGACCTGAAACTGTGACGCTATCGTCGCTGTTATGACACGCTGGTGAAATATCCGGGGGGCAACGTTTTTTCGCTTCTTCCCAAGACATTCCTAACAACATAAACAAACGTTTACTTTTGTAGTTACATCAATAATCCGACGATTATTTCATTAAAATTTAACTTACCTACAGCAGCCATGCCACCTGGTTTCAACTTTGACTCTATGATAGCTTTTCCTCTCCAATAAGCAGCCAAAACGGTTTGTTCGGCCGTGAAACAACCGTCGGCATAAGCACAACATTGTTCACCGACCGAATGACCTAAAATCCCGTCGGGAGTTATTCCGAGTGAGAAAAGCAAATCCGTTAAAGCAACCTGAAAAATGTTTTGTTTTCGTTATTATTCGAAAAGGGTTACCGAGTTAAAAAATCACCAAAAAAAAAAACCTTTTTTACCTGCATAGCGGCAATCGATGTAAAAGAATAAACGACATTTTCAAATATTTTCTCATCGTCCGAGCATAAAAGTTCGTAAAGGTTAACGCCATGTTTTTCTAAAGCACTAGCACAGCTACAATGAATGGATTATATATTTAAAAAAAATTCATTCATTCATTCATTCATTCATTCATATGGGAAAATAATTCAGAGTTAGTTTTTCTTTTTACCGTTTCAACGATTTTTCAAAAATCGGATACTGTAACATTCTTTTTCCCATTCCGTTCCACTGGGATCCCATACCGGAATAAACGAAATAAATAGGCCTTTTCTCGCTTGCGTATTCCTTAAAAAAATGACGAGTCCGTAAGTAAATAATGAATGACTATTATTTTCTAATATTAAAAAAAAAAAAAACTTACCGTGATTTCTTTTGTGACATTTCCGCTTTCATCTTTGACTAAAAATCCTCTGTAATCGTGACCGGGAATGTTTCGCTTGTGTATTTGTTGTGTGAGGGCTGCAAATTCATCATCCCTGGGTAATTCATTGATCTGTAAGAGTAAACATTTTTTTTTTTTTTTTTTTTTTTAAATTCAAATATTTATTTTATACGACGCAAAAATAATAATAATTACTTTATCGAGGAATGAATTAACGCTTTCTTCGGTTCTACCGGAAACGGTAAATAATTTAGGTACGGAATCAGATGGGAAAATAGGTTTTGTTTTAGAATTTGATTTTAATAAAAGATGTACATTTGCTCCTCCGAAACCGAATGAATTTATTGCGACTAATCCACCGTTCCACGGCCAATTTTTATTTACAACCTGAAAATAACAAAAAAAAGCTGAATAACTCTTCGCTGTTCCGGAATTCAAAATGTCCGACGACTTATCAACGTCAAACTACCTGCAATCGTCCGTCGTTCAATGCGGGAATATCCGGATTTGGTTTGTTAAAATGTAAATTTCCCGGGATTTTATTCTCTTCCATCGCTATTAAAACTTTTGCAACGGAACAAAGTCCCGATGCGGGTTCCGAATGTCCCATATTACTTTTTACCGAACCTATGAGCAAAGGTTCCGTTCTATCTTTACAAAATACGTCGGCTATTGAATTAACTTCTTGAGGATCTCCAACCTGGTTTTTAAAAAAAAAGTTAGTTGATGTTAATACTTAAAGGGAAAATTTAACAAAAAAAAAAAAAGGACGTCAGACGGTTTAAGCACCTTCGTTCCTGTTCCGTGTGCTTCCACGTAGGCAACATCTTTCGGATCTACTTTGGCATCGGAATAAACTTCTTTTATTAATTTTTTTTGCATTTCACCACTTGGAAAAGTGACTCCCTGAACTTTGTTTCCATCCGTGTTTGTTTTTGCGTGTACGACGGTTGCATAAACACGTCTCGCAACCGATTGTTTTTGAAGAAAGACGACAACCGCGGCTTCACTTCTGACGTAACCGTTACCTGTAAATGAAAACTCCGTTTACATTTTGTCACCTTTAAGAACTGCCGAAATATTGTAAAATCATTTACCGGATACGTCGAAGGCTTTGCAAGCTCCATCGGGACTTAACATTCCTAACCTGTGAAATTGTAAGGAACACGTCGGTTTCAATAAAAGATTTACTCCGCCGACAATGGCTGCGTCACACTGGCCGGATCTGATCGAAGCGATAGCTTGTTGCATTGCTAATAAACTACTGGAACATGCTGTATCTATTGCAAAACTAGGACCTGACGAGATGGAAAAATTAAATTATCATTCGTTATGAAAACCAACTCCGAGTGTCTCGACTACAACAGCCAACGGTTTAAAAACCGGAACCAACCGTTAAAATCAAAAGTGTAAGAGATTCTATTTGGAAACATGGCACGACAACATCCGGTCAAAGCGTATCCGTTAACTTTTTCAGGATCTGCCGTCCAATATTCATCACTTTCTGAATCGGAAACTCCGATAAAAACCCCCGTTCTGGAACCTCGAAGTTCTGCTGGATTGTAGCCTACAAAAGAAGAAAAAATATAATGTCGGAAAATAATAATAATAATAATAATAATAATAATCACTATGATTTGAATTTACCGGCATCAACGATGGCTTCGTGCGTCAATTCTAAAAGTATCCTAAGTTGTGGATCCATAACGTGAGCTTGTTTCGCATGGACTCCGAAAAATGTTGCATCGAAGGATCGCAAATCTTTAAGTTTTCCAGTTCTTTTGGGAAGTCCATGTATTCCTAAAATAAATTTTCCGATTTTAAACGGGGGGGGGGGTGGGGTGGGGTGGGAAATTTTTTCGAATTGAAAATATTTACATACCTGCAGGCCATCGTCTTTCGTCGTCTGTAACCAAGTCAACTCCTGCAAAAAGATTTTTTTTAAATTCTTCAACATTACTACTTTCTGGCAAACGGGCGGATAATCCAGAAACAATAACGTCGTTTTCCCGAAAACTACCGCTTCCATTTGAATAATTATTTCTTCCACCTTCTTGACCGGTTATATTTACTTCGGTAAATCGAGCTGGCATGTTTACACTTATACTCGGCCCTTAACTAAAATTTAAAAAAAACCCTATATTATTATTATTATTATTATTCAATGACTTAATATTTCTAACGGTTTTGTTTGTTTGTTTGTTTGTTTTTAATAATTTAAATAGCTTTTTTATTCGCACAATATTATAATCAAATCAAAAAGTATAAAATATATCACAGAGAAATTGATGATGATGATGATGATGATGGTAATAATAATAATATTTGCGATGAGATTTTCAAGGTACTTATTTTCAATGAATAAATATCTTATTATTATTATTATTATTATTATTATTAGATACCGCGGTTTTTTAACACCAAGACATTACGAACGACACGGACGTATTCATTTATGGGACACGAAAAATTTTTAAGGTACAACCACAGAAATTTAAATTTTTTTTTTTTTTTTTTAAATTATTTTCAATGCAGACGACGAGTACAACCACGACCACAACAACAACAACAACAACAAAAATCACATATTAATCACATTCTATTATCATCATCATTATTATTATTAACACTTTAAATTTTAAAAAAATTCATTCCTCGACTGGATTTTAAACTTTATATATTCACTTTCAAATTTTTATGACGTAATAATATGGGATTCAAAATGATTTGGGGGGGGGGGGGAAATCAAAATTACCAACAAAAAAACAAATTTTAATCGTTATAAACGTATCCAACTTATCATTATCATTATTATTATTATTATTATTATTACTATCATTACCCTTTTTGCAAAATTGATTTATACACATTTAATGTATTACGACGACTGAGAAATCGCCAAGAGATGCATAGACTTTTTATCAAAAATCATTATTTATTTTGCAAATAATAATGATATGAAAATTATTTGGGGTCACGAAAAAGGGCAAGGTCAATTTTTATATATAATATATATTTATATATTTTGGTCATTTTTAATAAAAACTTGATAAAACTGCCACTTGCGTCGTAATGATTAAATTAAAAAATCTTTTTATTATTATTATTATTTATTTATTTTCCACAGAGATTTTTTTTTTTTTATTACTATCGAACCGCCATTTTGTTTTTTTACCGTCGTCATAATCGTAATATATAAAATTAAATTTATGAATATAACTTATAATAATAATAATATTTCTTTGATTTTTTTCTCGCACGTTTAAATGTATACACACACGTTAGTAATCATAATCATCATCATCATTATTATTAACATTTTTGTCGTTGTTGTTGTTGTTGTTTGTTGTTTGTTGTTATTTACGAAAACGTGTTCACGTCGTTTCCCCCTTTTTTTTTTGTTTACGTTTTCATTTACTGATTACTCGTGTCAGATTAATTAAAAAAAAAAAAAAACTTACTTTTAACTGATTACTTCTGCTTCCTCCCTTCTTTGGTTTTTCTTCCCTGTTGAAAATAATAATAATAATAATAATAATAATAATAATAATAATAATAATAATAATAATAATAATAATAATAATAATAATAATAATAATAATAATAATAATAATAATAATATTAATATTAAAATCAAATCGAAAATAAAAAAAAAAAAAAAATTTTTTTCAATCGTAAACGTTTCGTCATCGTCATCATCATCATCATCATCATCATCATCATCATCATTATTATCGTTCAGACAACAGGTTCGAATTTTCAACGTTTGACTGACTGATTAATTAGACGAGTATTGATGATGATGATGATGATGATGATGATGTCGGTGTTACCAAAAAAAAAAAAAAAAAAATTTTTTTTTTTTGTCATTTGCGTCATTTTGCAAATAAGTCTTTTTAATTTATTTCGGCATTTAATTATTATTATTATTATTATTATGAGTTTTTTTCCACCGATATATTTTTTAAAAATTTACATAGGATCGAACAATTCGATTAATCGATCATTTCGATTATTTCGATATCGGGACGAAAAAAAAAAAAAAAATGAAACGAATTAATAGTTTTTCTTTCGTACCCGCTTTGCAATATATATAATATTTAAAATGGGAAAATTTTTTAAATTTGCAAAAAACGAAACAAAAAAAAAAAAAAAATCGTTTTCTTTAATGAGATACAAAGTTTTCTTTTTTATCTTTCAAATAAAAAAAAAAAAAAAAAAAAAAAACACTGAACTTGATTCACCATGCGAACAAGGTCACAGAGTTTTTCTTTTTTTTTTTTTTTTTTCTTAAAACAAAAAGAAAAAAGTTATCAAACCGAAATAAAAACGTAATTTACATAAATACATAATAATGATACATAGGATTTTATGTATTTATTTATTTACCGGTAAAATAAACAATCAAATTTTTATATTCAAACCGAAAAAAAAATCCTTTACGGAAAAATAAACGTTTTTTTAAATTTAATTACTTACAATACGTATAGTAAACGTATAAACGATTCCGCGAAAAAAATGTTGCCAATTTCGGAAAAAAAAAAAAAAAAAAAAAACGAACGTCGTTATACTATTAACGGTTTTTTTTTTGTTTACGATGAAGAAGGAGAAGAAAAAAAAAAAAATGGCGGCCGATCATAATGTAGCCCAGTAGTAGTAGTAGTAGTAGTACGCGCGCGTGAAAATTTTAAACATTTTCAAATTTCGATAAATAATTTTGAAATTAATATTAAAACGATTATCGATTTTAATCGATAAAACCATTTTTTATTTATTTATTTATTTATTTAATATATATTAATTATTAACCGATAACTTTTTTCTTTTTTTTTAAATAGGAAAAAAAAAACGATTTTTCCGAATTTCCCCTCGCCTTTACACATAAATATTTTATTATACGAAAAGGGAAAAATTTCGATAAATCGATAAGTAATAACAATAATGATAATAATAATAATAATAATAATAATAATTAATTCATTTCGTTTTATATTATTAAATAATTTATAAGGAAAACTTTTTTTTTTTTTTCCCTTGTTTCCTCTCCCGGTTAAACTTTAACGATCGTAAATTATTATTATTATTATTATTATTATTATCGCGCATTAATTATTATATATTTTATTATTATTATTATTATTATTATTAATTTTTTTTTTTTTATTTTAAATTTTGTTAATCAGCTGATCAATCATCAACGTGGTGGCGGGGTATAGGTCAATGTCGTTATATAGTATTATGCGCGATTCGCCATATTATATTTAAAAAAAATTATTTAACCTTGTTTTCCTTTTCGTTTTTTTTTTTTAAATTTAAATTATTACGATCAGGTTTAAGAATTATTCATAAAATTTATTATTACGGCATTTCATTTGTCATTTGACTATTATTATTATTATTTCTACTTGTCTAAGGTCGTTTTTTAAAAAAAAAAAAAAACCATAAAAATATAAATCGGTATAAAATAATAATTTGTTTTTTTTTTTTTTTTTTTTTTTTTTACACTGACCTGGCTCAATTTAATCTTTCTTTTAAAACTCGTGACTATTATGTTTCTTTTTTGTAATTTAACACGTTACGATCACAACATACAAACACAAACAAACAAACAAACATACATACAAACACAGACACAGACACACTAATTTACGTTAACGTATTAAAACATAACGTTTTTCGTTTTGGTTTTTACCTCTCTCTCTCTCTCACTCTCTCTTTGTCTCTTCTCTCTCTCTCTCTCTCTCTAATAATTTTTAACCGTTAAAAGTTTCGTTCTTTTTTTTTTTTAAAAACAAAAACTTACACTTTTTATGTGACAGTTATCGAAATGAGAATAACGAACAAATAAACATTCGACGATCGAACCGATGTCGTGACGTAATAATTATTTTTCACGAAAAGTGCGAAACGATTTGATGATGCAAGGTTGCCATGTTTACCATTGTAAATTTATTTAATTTTTTTTAAAATGCTTCGCTGTTTTTTTTTTTTTTTTTTGTTTTTATTGTTAAATTTTATTAATAACTGATTAATATTTAGGATTACTATTACTACTACAACTACTACTACTACTGGTACCTTAACGTTTGAATAAATGATGATAATAATAATAATAATGACGGTTGACGCATTCGCACCAGATTGAAAAGGTTTTTTTTTTTTTTTTGTTCGCGAACGAAATTTTTAAAATTGATCGAATAATAATAATAATAATAATAATAATAATAACGTGACAAAAAGAAAAAAAAAATTATAAAAAAAACTCGCGGTGAATTCATTTAAAACATTCGTGTAAAGTTAACTTGATTTGAGACGAGTAAATAACACGACGGAGCATAAGTAGAATGTGAAAAAAATAAACATCTTCATTTTGAAAAAGGTCTTTTTATAAAAAATAAATTTTTATTACTATCGAACGGGGCAATCTCGTGTGATGTCGGACCATGTGCTTTCGACCAATGAGAATCCAGTTGTAACCGGGCAGAAAAACGGTTTTTTACAAAAAAAAAAAATATATATTTCTGAGATATTTATCGATTGTTTACGTCAGCAAAAAGAATTTTTTTGGAAAAAAAAATTGAAAATTTAAAATTTTCTTCTTGTAATTTTTCATCAATTTTTTTAAAATCATTACGAGTCCATTACAAACGATCGTTTGTAAAAAGAAAAAAAAATTTTAATTTAATTCGATGACGTCATACTCACCGGTGTCATTAAAAGGCTTAACGAAACTGACAGAAAAAAACATGTCTTCAAAAATTTACACAAAAATTAATTTTTTTTTTTTTTTATTAAAATGTCGATGATCGATTATTACGTAATTATTATTAATAATTAATCAATCGTTAAATATATTATTACGTAAATGAAATAATAATAATAATAATAAGGAAAAAATGGCGGGAAATTGGCCAAATTTTAAAATAAATTAATTTACGAAAAATTTTTTTTTTACGTTACCCTGACGTGTAAGTTTTATATATTAAATTTAAAAAAAAAAAAATCAAAAGTGCCAACTTAAGAAAAAAAAAACAAACAAAACAAAACGTTTCGTACTGAATTTGTTTATTAAAAACTTTAATTAATTAATTATTATTATTAATAATAAAGATAATGATGATAAATTCAATTATTTTTTATTGAATAATTAACGAAAAAAAAAAAAAACAGAAATAATAATAATAAAACAATGCTTAAAACTCACCTTAATTAATTTAATATTTATTTATTTAAAAAAAAAAAAATAATAATAATAATAACATTCACTTTTTTTTATTTTAAAGGTTTACGAAAAAACTTTCGACCGTCATCGAATGAATAAATTCAAATCATAAACAACAACAACAACAACAACCAAAACAACAACCAAAACAATAACGAAACGCGAAAGTTAAAAAAAAAGAGAAGAAAAAATAAAAAACAATGGCGTTCGTCGTTGTGTTGTGATGACGTCAATATCAACGGTTAAATCGCGAATAAAGCAAAATCAAGACTGCGACTAAAAATGGCAAACAGGTACGTTTAAAAAAAAAAAAAAAAAAAACTGCGCACGTCTACTAAAATCGTCTGCTAAACCGACATCATTCACGTATATTATCAATATTTTATTTAAATGAAAAATTAACGGATTTTTTTTATGAAATAATAATATGAAATCGATGGATGATGACGGTTTTTTTTTTTTTTTTTTTTTGACTCGATTTAAATCCGTTCGTTAAAAAAACGATATTCAAAATGGCGTCCATTTTCTTTGTTTTAACTTTTTAAAAAAAAAAAAAATCTTTGAATAATTTCCATAATTTAAATGACGCAAATTCGGATTTTGCAAAAAAAAAAAAAAAAAAAAAAAAAAAAACTTTTGCTTTCCTGAACTTTTATTCGTTTACGATTCGCCATTAATGAAATTTTTTTTTTTTTAACTAATTCAAAAAATTTAAATTGAAATTAATTAAATTCATTTTTACGTACGTACGTAATAATTTTTGACAACAACAACAACAACAAACGAAAACGAAAAATGTTTAATTATTATACAATCGATACTAATAGTAGTTAGGTCAATGTCAGTAATGTTTGTCTTAATTTATTATTATTATTATTATTATTATTATATTTATTATTATTATTATTACAGGTGCAAAAATAATTACGTTAAAATGCATATGCGTTTTTTTTTTTTTTTTTAAATTTAAATAATAATAATAATAAAAATTTGATATAAATTAGGTATGGGAAATAGATTAGGTATGGATTTCAGGTCGACGTATTGAATTTAAAAAAAAAAAAAAAAAAACAATAAAAATGTGATAAAGGGGGAGGGGTTGTAAAAAAAAACAATGGGGGGGGGCGATTATCATTTACACACACACACACACACAAAAAATTTTAATGTAACAAATTATTATTATTATTAATTATTTAAATTTCGATAATTGTTTATATTGTAAAACAATGATAATGATAATAATAATAATGGTGGAAAAAGAATAGGATATATTGTTATGATAAACGATTGATTACCTACTGCCCTAAAAAAAAAATTTTGGCGGTTATTATAAAATAATTGTAATCGTACACGCACACGCACGCACGCACGCACGCACGCACGCATGATTTATTATTATTATTATTATTATTATTATTATCGAAATCGAATTTCATTATTGTTTTTATTTATTGGGTTTTTAAGTTCATTTATTTCAGGTTTCTACCTGACGATTCCTTAGGGATAAATGCTCGAATTTCGTTGGTGCTATTTATTGAGTATTTTCCCAAGAATGTGGGTCGTACCACATAGTGCGATTTCCTGGATGGTTTCTTCTTCTTTAAATTTCTTTTTATTGACTGTGGCTTACCTCCCAGTGATGCTCCCACGATGACCGGAATCGTTTCTGTTCTTACTCCCCATATCCTGGCTATTTCAGTCTTTTGTCTGCTTCTTTGGCTTTCTGGTGTTTTTTTCCGCCGGTACGGATGCTTCAATTAGCTTACACCATTTTATCCCTCAGGATGATATCCGGTTTGTTGGCTGGCACACAGTTCTGTCAGTGAGGATTTGTTGATCATACAGAACTGTGCATGGACCTACTGTCGTAACCGGGGTTGGAATGTGGTTGTACCACTCCTTGGGTAATCCATCCATTCCATATTTTCGGCATATATTCCAATGGAGGTTAGGACAAATTTTATTGTGCCACTATAGGTGCATCATGTTTTGCCAGTATAGGACAACCGGAAATTAAATGATCGATAGTTTCCGACTGCGATTGACAAAATCGGGACATATCATCTTGACGACCTTTGAGGATTACCTTTTCATAGTTTTATTATTATTATTATGGTCACTCTTAAACACGACATTATTATTATTATTATTATGGTTTATCAATACCTTACCACAGAGTAAGTTTTGTTTGTTTTTCAAAATTCAATTCAAAGCCTCCATTAATTAGCAAATTAAATACAAACAAAAAATTTATAAAAAGTGGTAGTAGTATTAGAAGTAATAATAATAATAATAATTTTTTTTTCTTCCTCTATGAAATTTGTTATTATTATTATTATTATTATTATTTAATATTCACAATCGGAACGTATTTATATTTATATATATATATATATGTGTTTATGCAAAAGTATATTAACACATGATATTTTTTTTTTTTTTTTGTAAATATTATTATTATTAATATTTTTTACTAATATTATTATTATTATTATTAATGAAATGAAATGAACGAATTGATATTATTATTCGTCAATATAATATACGAAGTCATAAAAGAACATTTTAGAGGAAATTACGCCATATCACTTTTTTTTTTAGGTTTTGAAACATTCATGCATAATTTTTATTTTTGAATTGATGATTTTTTTCCTCTCTCTCTCTCCCCCTTCCCGCCTCCCCTATTTTCTAATACCTTTTCTTCGTATTTTTTTTTTTATTTATTTATATATTATCTAAAGAGGTACGTGTTAATATATATTTATTATTATTATTATTATTATAAATTTGTTTTTTTTTTTTTTTTTTTTACGTACGTTATCAAAAAATTAATAAAAAATTGTGCGTAAATAAATAATCTCGCGTGATTATTACGCGTCACATAAATTTTTTTTTACCGATTTCAATTATTATTATTATTATTATTATTATTATTGTTTAATGATTATGCAAGAGATTATTATTATTATTATTATTATTATTATTATTATTATTATTATTAAAATATGTATATCGGGTCGATTTTTTCTATCGTTAAAAAAAAGCTTAAAAGTCGTTAAGGTCATTTAATATATATTTATATAACTGACCTGATCAATTATCAACTTGACAACATCATCTCCTTCATTTTAAATTTTCATCATCATTATTATTATTATTATTATTATTATTATTATTTAAATAAAAAAAATTAATAGGTAAATAAATAAATAAATAAATAAAAAATGTGATTTACAGAGATAAATGAAAAAGAAATATATTATTTGGATAAATGTGGAAAATGTCATCGAGTTGGGAAAATGCTTTTATTAGCATATTGGATGTTTCATATATACTTATGAGAATATTAATGGCACAACATCATGGAACGTCTATTTTTCACATTGTACTAAGAATGGCATTGGAAAATTTTTTAGATTTCGTTTTCGACGCGTAAATTATTTTTAATAATATTAATAATAATAATAATTAAGTTATATTAAAACAAAAGGAAAAAACCACACGTATACACACACACATTAACGTTGTTGATATTATTTACTTTATTTTTTGTATTATTTTTTTTTTTTTTTTTTTCTAGGTAAGCTCTTTAAACTTAATAATAAGAATTTTATTAATAATATTTTTGTTTGTATTATATATGATATATTTTGTATATGTATATGTATATATTAAGAAAAATAATTTTAAGTTTGTCTCTATCTCTATCTCTCTCTCTCTCTCTCTTACATATAATAATTTATAAGAAAATGTATTTAATTTATTTTTAATTATTTATATATCTATTTACATATATATATATATATATATATATATTTATATTTATATGCGTGCGTACGTACATAAAAACAAACATAATAAATTATTATTATTATTATTATTAATATAGGAAAAGTTTTTAAATAAATAAATAAATAATTAATAATAATATTGTTTTATTAATATTTTTTTTTAAAAAAAATCATTTATTAATAAATAATAAGTAATAATAATTAAATGTAAAGACCTTGAAAATTTTTGCTTGCTATGGCATTGAACCTTTTTTTTTTTTTTTTTTTTTTTTTTTGATTAGAATGTTAAATTGCATACGGCCCCGGCCGGGCCTCGCGAACAACGCGTGTTTTATTATTATTATTATTATTACGTAATTATTTATTAAATGTGGCAATCCGTTCGGCAAATCAAATAAATATTATCGAAAGAATATAGATTTTATTATTACGTAACAAAAATTATTTAAAAGTTTTCGCGGGAAAATTCAAAAATTTGAAATTAACATAATTATCATCATTATTATTATTATCAATTTTGATTTTTTTGCATGTTTATTTCTTCTTCCCGTAACATTTCTAAATATTTATATTTTTTCCGAGCTATCGGTGTTTTCGAATACCATTGTAAAAAAGCTTCCTCTTCTTCTTTATATATGGGTTGTCTTTTACTTAACGCATTTATTATTTCGTAGTGTGTTAAAGGTTGTACGACAAGTTGAAGAACTCTTTTGCAAGACATAACCTGTGTAAAATATTTATTTTATTGTTTGTTTTAGCAGAAGGAGATTTACATGACGAACTACTAACTTCTTTTACGCTTTCTATAATAGATCCAACCGTGTAACCATCGGATAATTTTGCCATGGCTCCAACATCAAATTGACGACTAACACCGGAATAATTAAAGAAAAGTTCCATGTATATGTTATTCAAACTGAAATTCAAAAAACGGGTAAGTCATAAATATTATTATTATAACTATGAAAGGGAGAGGGGAGGAGGGGAGAGGGAGGAAAACGTACCTAGAATAATCAGGTTTTGGTATGAAAATAAATTTATTGTATGTTTGTTGCAATGCTTTTTGATCGCATTCCCACGGCGTGTTCGATACTCCGATTAACATAATTTGATCCTCCGAACAAAAACTTTTAACTAATCTCGGTAAATCCTTTTTTAATCTTTTCGGATCAGTTTTATCCGTTTTTGGTACTTTTTTCATAAATGGTTTTTCCGCACCGTTCATGTATATAACAGCCGGTTGCATGAGCCTATTGGATAATATTTGTTGCGCACATTACATAAAAATTAAAATCAAAAGCAATTATTATAATAAAAAGGTCAATAATTTATCAATTATTGATTTGATTTCGCGAATTCGAGCCGCAGCAACGTTTCGTGGCCTTTTATTTATATGACGTCAAAAAAAAAAAAATTAATAGATTGATAATAATAATATCGTATTGCGTATTGCGCGTTTAGGGGTTTAGGTCGGAATTTACGAGAAAATATCCTTCTGTCCTTGTTTACCTTGCAACCTTACTAACGAGATGCATTAACATGATCAATCCCGATTTACCAGGATATTTTCCAACAATGTTAGCAGGACTTAAATCGAATAAAATGGCTCCCACTTCTGTACATATTGCATGAACCTGTCGAAATTATCATAGAGTATATAAATTTTCTCATTTTCTTTCTCATAATTGATTTTTTTCTTTTTCTTTACCAACATATTTTTACCACTTCCACGTGGTCCAGCTATTAAAAGTGATCTTATGAAGGGTGAATTTTGATGTATGATTTTCGATCCGAGTGGTAGTATGCAATATTCCGTTATGACCTTTTTAAAAAAAAATGAGAAAATCCTTTTTTTTAAAGGCTTTACAAACAAACAAAAAACAAACAGGTACGAACGAACCTGACGTATGTCACCCAATGCCGGAAGTGGATCTTTTCCACTATGACGTAAATCAAAATTAGCAAATGATTTTTCACCTTTGAAATCCGTTATCAATGTTTCCGGATATTTTTTTATTATACCTTAAAACGAATCGGAAAAAAATTTAGGTTTCGAATCGAAAGGTACAAAAAATTATTATTATTATTATTATTATTATTAACCGTTCGTTATGAGTTCTTCGAAAAGTGATTCTAACGTTCTATCCGGTGTTAAATCTTTTTCTTTTTTCTTTTTACTTTTTTTACCTGTTCTTTTACCCTTTTTTTTATTTACACGTTTGCTCTTTTTACCTTTTTTAGCTCTAAAAAAAAAAAAACGATTATGAGTTTCTTTATCGGGGGGGGGGGCGGCGGGGGGCGGGGGGCTAAGAAAGCAATAAAATATTAACGAAAAAATTATTATTATTATTATTAATACCTATCACGATCTAAAGCAGCTTGTAGAATTTCTAATTCTTCTCTCATCATCGCATCGACCATTTTACGTAATTCTTTTTCAACTTCTGCTTCGTTTTCGGCCTAAACACGCAAAAAAAAAAAAAAAAAAAAAAAAAAGGTACAGGTATGATATACCTATGGCAAATATCATCCAATTCGTTACCTTAATCATATCGAGGTACGGTCGTTCATCCGTATCGTTTAATTTTTCATTCCAAAACAAATCGAATTCCATTTTAGAATTTAATAATTCCTGTAGAAAATTCGATGGTGATATTTTAAAACCTTCATCATCTTCTTCCATCATTTTTTTCTTATTCGTATCTTCTTTCGTTCTGCTTTTTTTACTTCTTTCGCTTGAACCTCCGGTGGATTTACTCAATGACGTTTCGGTACCTTGACGACTTTTATTACAAAAAATTATTTCAAAAATTTTGACCGTTTGGGGGTGGAGGGGGGGGGGCGGCGGAAAAATAAAAGAAATTTTACCTGCTCGAACGAAAAATCAATGCCGAACCACCGGAATCATCCGAAGGAATTTCTGGAAATTTTCCTGTTTGATTTTTAACATGCATGTACCAACTTCTTATTTCATCAATCATGTCCTCGATTAATTTCCCTTCTTTTCTCTTCCTACACGATTCTTTTTCTATTTCGTTAAGCTGAAATATTAAATGAAAACCTTAAATCCTTAAATCCTATAAACGTTTAATAGAAAACAACCTTTTCGTAATCCTTTTGATATTCATCTTGTAATTTCCTTCTTATTTTTTCTATTTCTTCTGCTTTTTTCCTTTCTTCCCTTGATACGAAACTCGGATGAACCATACCGATCAATAACATTTCTTCCATTTTTTTACGGAAAATTTTTCTATAAATCATTATTATTATTATTATTATTATTATTATTTAAAGTAAAAGAAAATTTTTCTTTAAATTTTCAAACCTTCTTTCGATGTAGCCTCTCCATGTTTTTTGTATTCTTATAGCAGCAGCAAAATTAGAACTCGCTTGCGATCCACCAAATGCTTCAGGTTTACCTAAAACACCGAACAAATTTTAAAATTGGAAAATTTTAAAAACAGCGGAAAAAACCAAAATGTCTTCTCCCAATTACTTTTTTCTTTGAGCATTTTTATTTCTTTCATAAATTGAAATCTTAATCTTCCTTGTCTCGCTCTTTCGTGTACCTGAATCAATCGTATCGCATTTTCCAACGACATTTCCTTTTCCGGTTCTTCTTCATCTAAATATCCTAATTTTTTCAATATGTCATCCATTGTTTTTTTTTTCTCCCTTATTTCATTTTCCCTTTCTCTCTTGTAATATTTCGGGACTCCGATTTCTACGTCTTGGGGTAGTAAATTCATTTCCGTTAAAATCCCATCGAAATAACTAAATTCCGACATGTCGAGATTTACCAATTCTTGTTTCATTTCCAAAACCCTCAAACGAAAAAAATTCAAATTTAAAAAAAAAAAATAAATTTTATTACCCGGAAAATCCGGAAAATTACCTTCCGATTGTCGCATCCAATACTTTTCGTATGATTAATCGTTTTTGTGGTTGTAACATTTGATCGTAACATTGATCTAATTTTTTAACTATTACTATATATTTAACGTATAATTCGCTTACGGCTGTAATTATAATAAATAAAATATTACCCCTATATTACCGTGGTAATAATAATAATAATAATAATAATTTACCAACCTTGTAAAGCTTCTTCCCTTTGTAATTTTTCCGTTTGTATTATTGTATCTATTTGAAGTGCATCATCTAATGTTCTTTGTGCTTCTCCCCATAATAAATTATAAGTTTTATAAGACATCTTAAATTATATATTTTCAATTAATAATAATAATAATAATAATAATAATAATAATTAATAAACTTTCGTAAAAATAAAAAATATAAAATGCATTCAAAACCGATACGTTGTAGTCATGACAAAATTATCGATTAAATAATAAAAGTTAAATCGATTATAATTATTATTATTACTATACGTGCCACTCGGTAACGTCACTTCCTGTTTTTTCGAATTTCTGGAATCGACATTTTATTATTTTTAACAGGATTTTATCGAATTGACAATGAAATAAAAAAAAAAAAAAAACGAATAAGTTTACGTGATAATAATTATTTATTTCACTTTAAAAAAATACAAATTAATTAAAATGATTGATTGACTGACTGACTGACTGACGTATTTTATTTTATAGGAGATGACGACAAACGCGACAAACACGCACTCACACACACACACACACATTTCCAATCTTGTTTGTTTGTTTGTTTGTTTTTTCTTTGGGTAAAAATTTTATTTTTTAGGTTTAAGTAAACCTTCCCCCTTTAAAAAATTTGAATTTTTTTTTGATTTTTCCCATGCTATAATATCATTATCATCATCATCATCATCATCATCATTAGCATCATCAACTTCCGGTGATTTTTGACACTTTTTCCCTTTATTTTTTAACGGTACGGGTAGTATCATTTTTTTCGGAAATTGTACTCGAGATTTTTCCCAATATACATCATCAAATTGTATTTGTATAGTCGAAGGACGTGGATTCGAAGGTGGTGGCGACGGTGGCGACGACGGTGGCGGGGGTTTTTCGGGTGATTTCGATATAGATCTCGAACAACCGGAAGTTGTCGAACTCGGCGACGGTCTTTTATCCGTGTAATAATAATAATAATTTTTCCCTTTTTCCTCATTTCCACTTCTTCTTATTCTTCTCCTCCCCTCACATTTACACAAATGACAGGGACGTATGAATTTATTTCGCGACGATTCGATTCTCGATTCTCGTCTCGTTCGATTTGTTCTTTCTTCGACAAAACTAACTCTCGCCGAAAGTAATTTTCTTCTTCCCGATAGCATCAAATTATTTTTGAAAAATTTCTTATTATTATTCGTATCCGGACTTTCCGAATCGGATTGCGTTGAATAATCCGTATTTGTCGGACCGGAATCGCTTATGCATTCGTGACGTTTAAATTCGGAATCTGATAAATCACTGAAAACAACAACAACAACAATACGATCGTTGATTGATTGACGTTAATTAATCGTCTTGTTGCAATTAATAATTTTGGGTTAGTGACCTCTCTGACCTGTCGAAAAACGTTCTCGGTGCACTTTTTGACCTTTTCGGAAGTGAATGATGAATTGATTTTCTTTCGTACGACATACTCCTAGTCGAATTGATTGCTCTCATTCCAAATTTCCTTTCGAACACTTCCATATTTTTTCTATAAATTATATAAATTATTTGAGTTTAAAAAAAACAAAATGGTGGAAACGTTTTATTATTATTATCATACTTTGAATGTTCTCTAGTGCATCCTTTACTTATCGGTCTATTGAAAATACTTTTTTTAAATCTATTTTTAATTTGACTCATCGTTTTGTCTTTTTTCCTTTTTCCCCTTTTTCCTCCTCCTCCTCCTCCTTTTCCCTTTTTCCTTTTTTTTCTTTTTTTCTTTGATTTCCCATCTTGAGATTCGGATGTTAATTGTCTAGCAGACGACGACACGTTTCCGCTCGTGCTCGGTTGAGGTCGGAAAAAATTTTCGTATGTTAATTTTGTACAAAGTGAAGAATCGCAAAAATCTTCGCCGCATTCTTTACAACTCACGACGCGGATTTCGACGATGCTCGATTTAGGATTTTTCGTTTTTCTAATCCAATCCGTCATTTTTTCCCTTTGTAAATTTTGTTGATATTTTAAATCTAGTTTACCAAGTTGTACCAACCTAACAAAAAAAAAAAAAAAAATGATTTGGAGTTATAACATGTCGTATTCCCTTTTAGAGCATATCATTTTATAATAACCTCGAAAACATGTCTTCGTCCATTTTCGTTTTCGGTCTAACCGTTGTTAACATTTTCCAATCGATATTTATCGGACATAAATCCTTTAAATCGACTCCTTTCATATCCGGTGGCATTGGATCCGGATACGACCATTCTTTTACACTTTTTTTCTCACTCGTAAACGTAAAATCTTTTTCTTTTATTTTTATTTGGTCGCCCCCCGTTATTTTTTCCGCTTTCACTTTCGAATCCGGTATTTTATCGTAATATTTTTTAAATTCTTCTTTCGATGTTATTTTTACTTTTGACAAATCTAATACTTGCGCCGGTTCTTTTTTTTTCGATAGAAAATCATCTAATTTTATCATTTTTCCTCCCCCTCCCCCTCCCCTCCTTTACATAAATAAAACAAAAACCAAATTTTTTTAAAATTTAAATTTTTTTATTCTTATTTTCCAGTCTTTTATTCGCGTCACGTAATCTGTAATAAGTCATTAAAATACTTTTGCAAACTATAAATATAAATATTAATAAAAAAGCCATAAACATCTTCCGAAGAAACAAACAAATAATAATAATAATAATAATAATAATAATAATAATTTATTTTTCTACGCTTTTCTCGGAAAATGGTGTCGTGCTCCTGGAATTTGAATAATCCTTCTGAAGATTTTTCAAACCCTGAAAAACAAATAAAAAAATTTTTAATTTTCCTTATTTTCCCTCATCATAATCATCATTATCATCATATAATGCCGTGTAATTAGTCAGTGTGTGTGTGAGAGAGAGAGAGAGAAAATGTCACGTGGTAAATAATAACGTGGTTCGATGTTAAGTACGCAAAATGGAAAAAATATTGAGGTCTCGCTGAGTCAAACAAAATCCGACACGTCATAAATTCCATAAAGAAAATAATCGATTTTAAATATCGATAATTATAAAATCGATATATCGATAAATCGATAAACGACCGCATGCATAAAATACCTCGCGCAAATCCGTTATTTTCTGTATTGCTTCCAATTGTAAATCGTTGAGAAAATTTCCAGTGTCGGAATCGGATATTTTTTCATTTTCTACTTCCGTCGTGTCTTCTTCCTCCACTTCTTCGTCCGTTATCATTTCCCGTTTAACGATCCTTCTTTGAAAAATTTTTTCTGATTCCACGGCGTATTTATTAGATTTATCGAATTTGAAATCCGTCGATTTGATTCTATTATCTATCGGTACGAAAACGGGACTCGAAAGATTCGAATTCATTCTAAAACCGTTTCTCAATATTATTTCCGTTTTTCTTCCTTCTTCCTCTTCCTCTTCTTCGGTGTTGTTTCTCATTTCTATGGGTAATTCGAGTAATCTTGCAACCGATTGTAATTCTTTTTCGTCATTTTTCGTCACGTCTTCGTTTTTAATCGTTTGATCTGATGATGACGTAGCATCCCGTCCGATATTTTTAAGCCTTTGTTTTAATCTTTTCTGATAATAGGGATCTTTTTCGCTTTGTTTTTTATATTCAATGGCTGGACGATTGATTCCCCATTTCGGCCTATCTTCCAAACTCATTCTGGGCCCTTTCGATCTGTATTTAGTCGGAATGAAATATCTCCCCTGTTTGTGTCTATCAAGGTTGATGACCCTACAAGAAAAATTCCGGTGAAATTGATAAAGGGGGGAGGGAGGGGAGGGTCTCGATAAGTTCGCAATACATTATTCATTCATTCAAATGAATAAAAGTTTTCATGTTCTCCAACTTTTCCAGAAAGAAAAATTTACCGGAAAGGATAATAATAGCATGCAAATTCTGACTTACTTTGAATTCGTTCCGTTCCCTGTTTTTCCACCGCATCTCATGCTCAACCTCCTCCTTTTTCCAGCCGATCCAGGCCATATCGATAATCGTCCGAAATCCGTTTGTGTCGATTTATTACTCGGCGTGTATTTCAATCTTTGACTTATTCGATATTTACTAGGCGTCAAAGTTTTTTCTTCCGTCTGAACGGATTCCGACACCGAGGGTGTCAAAGATATGACTCTGTTCGTCGTCGTGCTCGTGTTTCTCGGTGACATCAATAAAGCCAATTGAACTCCGTCCGGAGGAAGTAGAAAACCGTTGTCTTGCGTTGTCGTGTTATCCAACATGAGAGCCAAACCACCGTCGACGGGAAGTCCGTTCATGTTGAGTAGTTGAAAACTGTTCGCGAGTTGAATGTCTTCGAATTGACTCGATGAATCTTTTAATATTTTCTCTTGTTCTTTTCCCCCGTTGCTGTCGTTAACATCGTTGAGCTTTTTATATTTTTTTTGATTTTGCTGCTGCTGCTGCTGCTGTTGTTTTCTTTGAGACACGTTGAGCACGGCATCCGTCGGTTGCATCACTTTTTCTAATTTTTTAACCTTGTCACTGTTGACCGAAATATTTTTCTTTTCCGCGTTATTTTCGACCGCGTGCCTTTTACTTCTTTTCTTATCCTCTCTCGCACGTTTTTCCGCCAATTCTATGGCCTCTTTCATGACTTCCTCTCTTTTCCTATCGAATTCTTCCTTTTCTTTGATTTTCTTTTGCTCGGCTTCGAATCTCTGCCTTTCGATTTCCTGTTCTTTTTTAATTCTCTCTTCTTCCAATTTTTCTTCCCTTATCCTCCTTTCCCTTTCTTGCTTCCTTTTCAACTCCCTTTCTTCCAATTGTTTTTTGATCGCGTTTTGATGTTCCAATGCTTTTTTACGTTTTCTCTCACGTTCTTCCATGACATCGAGGGGTATGGGAGCATTTTGACCCAAAATATAATTTTTTTGAGGTTTGTATTCGTCGTCCGGATGACTTATAATTAAAACTTCCGCTTTCGTACTGCCGTCGTAATTTTTCAAACCCTTTTCGACCCATTTTGGAGCGGGACGATAATGATCGTTTACGAGAGGAAGGCGACAATCGGGTCGATTGACGACGGGTTCCCACAAGTGACCGATACCGATTCCGCGATCTCCCCATCTTAAACGATTTCCGTCGTCGGAGGAAACGCTTTCCGGTGTTCCCTGCCAATAATTTCTATTCCTGTTCCGATAGAGTCTTGTATTTTGCAAGGAACTCTCGTTATCCTCCTGAATCCAATTATTATCTTTATGATATTTATACATGTTGTCATCCGTCCATGAATTATCGGTTTTATCGACGTCACTCCAGTAATTTTTTTGTATTTTTTCCTCTTCGTCAATCGTTTCCGCGAATAAACTTTCATTATCTTGAAAATTTTCCAATTTTTTAAATAATTTCGGTGAATCGCTTAAATATCCCGAAGTTTCGGATTCTTCCTCTCGTCTCAAACCCTTTTTTCCTTCTTCTTCTTCTTCTTCTTCTCCTCTATTTTTTAACGAAATCGGTGGTAATAAATTATTCCTGTTGTAAAAATAAGTTTGTTCGTCATTTTTCGGTCTACCCCATAATCCGTAAAGTCCGATCATTTCCTCTAAAAACAAAAAAATCTCAAAACGACATCGAGAAAAAAAAAAAAACCTCAAACGATTATTATTATTATTATTATTATTACTACCTCTTTCTTTGGCCCATTGTAATCTTTTTTGTTCCACCAAACTCAACGTTTTGCTTGATTCTAACATTTATTACAATCGAAATTATTTATTTTTTATCATCGACATATTTTTTTTTTCGCGCGGAAAAACCCCAACAAAAATTAACAAAAAAAGAAAAAAAAACCTTTTAACGTATCGCGTACAAAAAATTAACTGAATTTTCCCTATGTTTTCCTCCCCACCACCACATCCCCCCCCGCCTTTTCCCTTCCTACTTAAAATTTTCTTTCTTTTCGAAAAAAAATTTTCGTGCTAGTAAACGTTCGATTCAAAAAAAAAAACAAAAAAGAAAAAATATAAAAAAATCTATTTTATTCATAAGTTATTCATGAAGTAAAATCATTTTCTTAGAGTCCAAATTAAAAAACACACAAAATATTTTTATACATTTTCATTGATTAAATAAAAGTCGAAGGTAAAAAACTTCACCGGGTAACGCGAATGACACAAAATGGTGGTCTCCAATGCTTCTTCTATATCAAACAACCGCCATTTTTTTTTTCTCTTTACAATACCTTAAGATTCAAAAATCTTTTTTTTGGTTCGAATCGATATAAATATGGAGAATCCATAATTAAAAAAATAAAAATTTTCTTCTATCGATTTTTCACGAAACAATAAGAAAATCAATGTCCCTCCGTTCGTCCGTTCGTCTCCCGGGCGTGGTTATTATTATCATTATTATTATTATTATTCCCTCGTGTTTTAACATAGTTCATTGAACTATATCGATTTACAAAACGATTTTTCCCCTTTCCCGTCTTTTTCCAAATATTATTGTCAAGAAATGATGCATACATACATACAAAAACCCCCCCTCTCTCTCTTTCTCTCTACACATTTCATAAATAAAAAATTAAGAAAAAGCAGAAGAATGACGAAATAATGATAATACTGATAATATAAAAATAATAATAATAAAAAAACGACTAAACTCACCGGAAAATATCCTGGAAAATTTTTCTATTTTTCTCCTTCTCGCGGGTCGATGATGACGCAATAACGAATTTAAATAAAATCGGAAAATTTTCACGTTCGCGTTCGCGGATTTTCTTTTTTTTTTTTTTTTTTTTTTTTTGTTTGTTCGTTTGTTTGTTTGTTTGTTTGTTTGTTTATTTGAAAACCGCACACGTATTATCAATGTCTCTTTTCGACAAATCAATCATATCGGAATTTTTAAAATAATGATAAAATCTATTTTTCCTTTTCGAATTGTGTGTCCGACGATTTTTTTCCATCCTCAATATGTTTCTTATTATTGGAAAATAATCCAAATGAACGATTTTCCTATCGTGCCTTTCCATCGCAGGTATCAAATCTAAAACGTTTTTTTCCGTTTCTTCTTGATTTTTCCGAAATCTGCAAATCGAAAATAAAAAAAAAGTTACATATTTTCTTTTAACAATCAAACCCTTTTCCCTTTCGCTCCCGATGCTAACCTTACGTCTTCCCAAACGGGGAAAAAAAATTCCCCATCATTTTCTCTTCCGTCATTTAAATTACATTTCGACACGTTCGACATGATTTCCGATGATAATTTTAAAAAATAATAATTTATGTCTTTTCTCGTTTGCCTTTGACGACTTGAAAAATTTTCCTCCGTTTTTTCTTCGAGCGATAAACTATCTTTCGGCCTGTAATTCGTTCCTAATAAATTTTTCTCTTCCCACGTCGAATCCATCAAATCTAAAGTTGATGCCACGTCTAGTAATTCCCAAATCCTGACATTTAAACATTCTTTCGACGTTTGATTTGATATGAAATTTTCCAAACCGTTTTCCAAACTCATTTTAGATTTTTTCCTAACACTTTCATCGCATTCATCGGAATCTTTCGATTTTTCACTCTTCCCTCTTTTCCGTTTCAAATAAGATGGCCGACAGGGATTTTTATCATCATTTGTACTTAAATACCGGGATAAGTTCCACCAAAACTGTTCCAAATCCGATTCGTGATTGAGTCGTAATAATAAATGTTTGTCGTTCGAATTATTCCAAAATTCCAGATCCAGTAATGTTTTCCTCATATCGAAATCGTTGTAATTAATTAAATATTCCAGAATGTTTTTATCGATTTGAATTCCTTCCAAGTGAGAGACGACATCCATGTAAGCACCTGGAATTTCAATCGTTTTTAAATTTTTTTTTTTTTCGGTTTTCACGAAACCGACTGGGAAAAAGTTAAAACTTACAAGATTTGTGAAAAGATGGCCGGTTCATTTCGAGAACCAAACATTGTTGTGTTCGAAAATTATCCAGATGAGAACATGTCGGATCGTTCGTAACGAAAATGAAGGGTCTTTTAGAAGTTTGAACAAGGGATGAAACGGCCGAGTAAAAACCTTCGTCGTATTCTTCGAAAACAATGTCGGCATCTTCGATTAGTAAAAGTGATATTTTACTCTCGTTTATTTTTAAATCCTTTAATATTTCATTTCCGTTTTGTTCCCTCTTTTTAACCTTTTTAACATTTTTGTTCGAATTCATTTTTCCGGGAGGTTGTTGCGACAACTGTTGTTGAACTTTGTGTGATTGTGTTGCCTCTTGAAAATCCGTTAAAACTTTTTTACCTGAAGACAAAAACACATTTTATATTCATACTGATAAATTTTTCAGTGGCGGCTTAAGGTTTACCTGTGCGTTTAGATGAAGCATTAACTTCTATTATGTTAAATTCTAATTCTTCTGCTAGCGCAGTCACGAGTGCAGTTTTTCCACAACCGTTAGGTCCGGATAGCAGGCACACGTTATGAGGAGGTTTTAATTTTTCAGATCCAATAAAAAAATCATCGTCGTCGTCGTCGTCAAAATCGTCATAATCACTATCACTTTCACTACATTTATTTTTATTATTTGATTTAACCAAAGATTTTAATTCTTCATCGAAATCTTTCCATGATTTCAACCAATTTTTTAATTTTTTAACAACATTTTCATTTTCTAATATTTCACAGCTTGATGGCTTGTATTTATCAATAAATTGTAAATTGAGCGATTCAAAACTGCCATCCAATGTTTTTAAACCGTTTGCTATCGTTAAATCTTTTTCAAGCTTTAAATATTTATCACTTTTTAATTTTAAACCATCAATAACTTTCTCAATATTTAAATGTTGATATTTTGCTTTTATTTCATCATATTTTTTTTTTCCACCAAAAGAAGCAGAAGAAGAAGAAGAATAAGAACTGTCGTAATTACTTTCGACAACATTCTCTAAATTTTCTTTAATAAAATTAATATGAAATTTTTTATCACAATTAAATTGATAATAATAATAATAATCATGACTAAAATTTTCTTTAAAATTTATATCAATTTTCCTAACAGACCAATAAATACTATCATCCCTTTGTTGAATGTGACAAGTTGGAATGAAATAATTTATCGGTAAATTTATTTTATTCGAATTAAATTTTTTAGCACTATTATTATTATTATTATTCGTTTTACTGTGAAGGAAATTATGTGAAGCTTTTTTAGCAGCTAAATCTAAAGCTCTTTTTTCTTTGAATAAAAACAATGGTGCAATTTTAACATCATTACCATCATTTTTGACTTTTTCAATTTTGTCATTATCTATTCTATTGATTTCTGTTAGCGGTTTTTCTATATTTTTTTTAGGTTTCGATTCGATTGTCGAGCCATCGCATAAATCTATGAGTATATTCGAATTTGATTTTGTTAAATAATCGACTAATTGAATATCATTTGAACCTGTGTCAAGTTGAGGCTTGCACATGACACTATTTTCTTTTTTTAATGATTCATCGTCTTTATTTTTATTTACAACAACATTAACATCATCAATTTTTTCTTTTGTCTTTAATTTATTTCTAGGCTGAAAATAAAATAATATGAAAGTTAAAATAAAAAAAAAATAAATGGAAGAAAATGTATCATTATTATTATTATTATACCTTAAAAATAATTTCCTCATCCGAAGAAAAAATTTCACAATCCTCCTCGTCTTTGATACCATTGGTAACTAAATTCCCATTATTCGAATAATTGTAATTTTTAATTTTTTTTTTTTTATCAGTTAAATATTTTGATTTTTTCTCGAATTTTTTTTTATTTTCATTCGACATCAAAACTTGAAAATAATTTTTTATTTGTAAATCTCTTCTAACCTGAGTAATTTTATTCGTTTTGAGACTTTCATCGTAGACATACGTTGAATTTTTCGTTATGTTATTCTCAATTATTTCGCATACGTACGAATTAGGATCGTTTGGATCAATTAATTTTATTTTTATTTTTCTACCAAATTTTTTACATGGCTGGTCGTTTTCCATTTATATAAATAATATAAAAAACATTATCTGAACTATTTGAAAAAAATGTTTTGTTTTGTTTTGTACTGTATATTTATTCGTAGCTTGTTATAACAAATTATTATTATTTAATTAAATTAATCAGTCTTCATAATAATTGTGCAAAAAAAAAAAAATAAATAAAAAATAAACAATTATACTTGTTCAGTTGATTTTTTGGTTATTGAATAAATTGTAATAGAAATTTTTTATATTATAAATAAGTTTATAAAAATAACACATTTTTTTTTTTTACAAATATTTTGATTTTTTCTTTTTTACTTTTCTTACGCACTAATAACAAAATTGTAAATAAAAAAAATTAATAAAATTAAAAATTATGTTTTAAATAATAATAATAATAAAGGTTTTTGGCGGTTCACATGGCCGCAATTGGGATAAAACCCACGACGTCACCGCCACCTATAATTTACAAAGATAAAACTTTTTAATTTCAGTTCTGTGATTATACAATCTAAATAATGACTTGGTTTAACGTTCTGTCATGGAATGTAAAAAATTTATTGACAATGGAAAATCCAAACAAAGTTTTGGATGTCGTTCAACAGGATTACAGTCATCATCACATTCAAAATAGAGAAGATTCATTAGTTTTATACACGCCGAATAATAGATCAAATAATTACGAATTAGTTTTACATCGACCTTATAATGAATCGCTAACGGAAGCATATAGCCTTTGTCGATGTATCGATTCCGAAACTGCACAGAGAAAATTTTTGCTTTATAAAGATAAACTACCCACGATTGTGTCAATAAAAAAAGATGTAAATAATTTGTACTCTTGAAATACTATAAAATAAATAATTTAATTAATATCGTATGACGTTTGATTACAGTTATATAATTCAGCACAAATTCAAAAGATATGTGATATGATATCTGAACATCCTTGTTGGAATCTTGCACACGTCACCGTACATTTAGGACTTACAGATTTAATATCGAATGCTAAAGTAAAAGAATTTATTAATGTCGAAGAAGCTGAGACTGGGTTGTCGCCTCTTCAGTTGGCTATTCAAGATCAAAATATAAGAATGGTTCAAGCGTTGTTAAATAATGATGCATCTTTAAATCATTTCGACAATGATGGTTGTTCTGTTCTTCATTATGCTGCTATCACAAACAAACAAATAATCAATGTATTAACTTAAAAGTTTTTTTTTTTTTTTTTTTCTTATATTTTATTAAGAGTGAGATTTTAATTATTAACTTTTATTATTTGATTTAGCTGCTTTGTGAAAATTCCATAATGACAATTAACAGCAGAAATGGTGAAGGACGTACTCCTCTTCATGTCGCTTGCTATGCAGACAAAAGAGATTGCGTTCATGCTTTGTTAGAAGCTGGAGCAGATGTAAATATATCAGTTATAGAAAGAAGGTCTTCACTTTTGACTCCTGGTTGTGTAGGTCCCATAAAGGTAATAATTTGAATTAATACCAAAGTTATTTATCGAGTAATTTATTTACTTGTGTAAATTTCTACAAATTTTAGAATTTTCCCAAAACGTTACACGGTGACGATATTAAAAATGGCGGAACTCCACTTCATTGGGCATGTTCAAGAGAAGTTATAGAAGCTTTAGTGAACAAAAATTGTGATATAAATAGTTTAAATTTTGATCAGAGGACTGCTTTACACATAATGGTTTTGAGAAACAGACTAGAGTGTTTAGTTACTTTATTAAGTTACAGAGCAGATTGTAATATCGGAGATAAGGATGGTAACAGTCCGCTTCATTTGGCTGTGCAAGAAAATAATGAAGCTTGTGTTAAAGCTTTGATAGTTTTCGGAGCTGATACTTGTTATGTGTAAGTAATTGTGATTGATGGTATCATCTAATTAAGAAAATTTTGTAAATTAATTAATTATTATTATTATCGCAGAAATAATAATGGATGTACTCCGAGGCATCTTGTCGATTGTGAGTCTGAAATAGGAAGGAGAATTTTATATGTATTGCATTCAGTAGGAGCTCCCAGATGCTCAGACACACAAATATCATGCAACATTGGATGCAAATACGATGAAAGTGAGAGAGAGAGAGAGAGAACAAATTATTCGAATGATGTCAATCAGTGTTAAAAAAATTAATAATTTGAATCGTTTTTGAATTACGTCACAGGTTTTTCCGGAACAGCATCTTTCTTGCCCGTTTCCCTTCCCGCACGTGATTATTTAGATTCCCTTTTGTCATTACATACATTAGACGTTGAAAAGAAAAAAGGGGTAATTAAGAAAAGTAATTTACCATTAATTAATTTTAATTTAATTACTCAATGTTTTGTATACATATATATTTTGTTTTGTCTTCCAGGGTAAATTGTTGTGTTTAGACGGAGGCGGGATAAGAGGTTTAGTTTTGATTGTCATATTAATGGAATTAGAAAAATATTTGGATCGTCCCATTTTAGAATGTTTCGATTGGATAGCGGGAACGAGTACGGGAGGTTCGTGACGTGTATCCATCAAATATATTTAAAATTTTCTTTTTGTGTTAAAATTATTATTATCATTATTATTATTCCAGGTATTTTAGCTTTGGCTTTGGCTACAAAGAAGCCATTAATAGATTGTTTGTGTTTGTATTTTAAATTAAAGGATAATACATTTTATGGTAAGAGACCTTACGACACGGAAAAATTTGAAAATTTATTGAAAGAAACGTTTGGAAAATACACAACAATGGCTAATATAAAAAATCCAAAGTATGATTTTATTTTTTTTTTTTTATATAAATAATAATCAATCAATCAATCAATCAATATAACATTTTTGAATTGTTTTTAGATTAATGATAACATCGACCGTCGTTGATCATCTTCCGGTGGATCTTCACATATTTAGAAATTATGCATCCCCTTCTGAAATATTAAACATCCCTTGCGGAGATCCCCTTTTCAAATCGAGTCCTCCTCATGAAAATTATCTGTGGAAAGTTGCACGAGCGACGGGTGCTGCTCCCACGTATTTCCGGTACGTGTTCGTTCCTTTTTTTTTTTTTTTTGTTGTTGTTAATAAAAAAGGAAAATTTTTTAATTTTTTTTTTTTTTTTCTTTTTTCAGAGCATCGGGTAAATATTTAGATGGAGGATTAATTTCTAATAACCCGACCCTGGATGCTTTGACGGAAATCGAAGAATTAAATGCGGCATTGACGGCCGTAGGGTTGGAAGAAGAAATTCTAAGGGTTAATCTCGTCGTATCACTCGGTAAATTTAATGTCGTCGTCAAATGGAAACTTTATCTCTCGTTGCCTTTGGTAAGAAAGTTTGGAGTTTTATGATTTTTTTTTTTCAGGTACGGGTATAATGCCTGTGGAAGCTTTGAAAGGAGAAGTAGACATATTCAGGCCGTCGAGTTTGTGGGACGCGGGAAAATTCGTTTTCGGCGTCACGACGATGGGAGTCATATTGACGGATCAAGCGACTCAAGCCGAGGGTAGAGTCGTGGATCGAGCTCGCTCTTGGTGTTTTTCGACAAAAGTCCCCTACTATCGATATTCCCCGCAATTGTCGCAAAAAGTCGAATTGGACGAAAAAAATAACGAAATACTAACGAACATGCTTTGGGAAACGAAAGCTTACATGCATTCAAAAACGGATGAAATTAAAAAATTAGCCAACATATTAAAAAATTTAAGTTAGTTTAACCCCCAAAAAAAAAAATAGAAAAAGAATAGAAAAAGGATCTGTTATATTGTCGTAATCGTTTGTAGAAAGAGATAGAAATAGAGAGAGAGAGAGAAATTTACGCAATTCTACGCACACACGTGTAACAAATAATAATAATAATAATGAAATGGAACCCGTGTACAAAATATATACGTGTATATATATATTATCGTTATAATTATTATTATTATTATTAATTTTTTCGAATCGTTTTTTTTTTTTTGTTTTGTTTTCGTTCGTTCGATTGAAAGAAATAAACAAATAATAAAAAATTTTAGGGTTAGGATGTAAGTAGTACAAAATTTTAACCAAAGATGTCTCCACTTGATGAATTATCCGTTGTAACCGTTTTTCTTTTTTTTTATTCGAAAATACTCGGAATTTTTATTTAAAAAAAAAAAAAAAAAATGTTATTAATTATGTTATTATTTATGTAATTAATTAATTTAAATGAAATGAATTGAGGGATTTGAAAAAGAAAAAACATTTTAATGAGGAAGATAAAGGGGCGGAGGCAGGAGGCGGGAGCGGGGAAAAAAGAATATGGCGGATTCGTTTTAAAAAAAACCCGCGAAAAAAGGACATGTGAAATGTTTTTTTCGAACAAATAATAAATTTTAAATTTATTCATCCGTTTTAAAAAATTTATTTTTAGTTTTCCATTTGAAAAAAAAAAAAAATCAATACGACCAAAATAAATCCTTTTTTTATGTTTAACTTCCGGTTCGCGTAAAAGATCGACGCGGAATATTTCCGGAAAACTT